TCAGAGCTTCTGGGCAGTTTATGTTCTCTGGCTATTTCCTCCGGGGCTTCCAGGCATTGGGAAAGGAACAGGCAGGCAGATTGGTTTTTTCTGCACCAATGGGTGGTGAATTCATGCATAACTAGCTAAATGAGGTCAAGGTCCTTTGGGAGCAAATGAAAAGTGCAGAAACACAAATTTATTATTATTATGTACTGGAGGGAATGGTACAGCTGGGAGTGACCATTGGGTGTGGCTGACACTCCACCCTCAGAGGAAAGGGAAGATGGATATATAATCAGAGGGGTATGGCTGACACTCCATACTCAGAGGAAAGGCAAAATGGACATATAATCAAAGCGGTATGGCTGACACTAAACCCTCAGAGGAAAGGCAAGATGGAAATATAATCAAAGGGGTATGGCTGACACTACACCCTCAGAGGAAAGGCAAGATGGACATATAATCAAAGGGGTATGGCTGACACTCCACCCTCAGAGGAAAGGCAAAATGGACATATAATAAAAGGGGTATGGCCGACACTCCACCCTCAGAGGAAAGGCAAGATGGACATATAATCAAAGTGGTATGGCTGACACTTCACCCTTAGAGGAAAGAGAAGATGGACATATAATCAAAGTGGTACTGGCACCATCAGAATCACAACTTCTTATTGGCTGCTGAAGAAGAGCAGGGAGCGCTTATGGAAAAGCCCTTAAGTTGTGTGATATCAATTTTGTCCTATCTTTATGTACTTGAATCTTATTATCAACAGTCTTTTATTATCCTCTGAATGTTTTTACCCCCAGTCCTTAAGAAAGAAAATATGGGCTTTTGAGCTGAAATGTTTTAGCAAGATTCTCAGAAAATCAGGGACAAAGAAATAGAAAAAACACTGACATTTTAAAAGATCTAAACGTCAAGAAAGACTGGCCAAACTTTTCTGAGAAAAAAAGGTGGCAAGGAATAAACAGCCTCTTGTCTCAGAAGCTGAAATATTTTGGTCACATCATTCACCATGGCGGACTGGAAAAAAATAATAACAGAACTCATGGTACCAGGAAAGAGGGGCAGGGGCCGACCAACACAAAGATGGGCAATGGATACAAGTGACTTTTTGAATATAAAGTACATGGGGCAAGAGAGCTGGTGAAGACCGAGTTTCTTTCAAGCACACCGTGATGAGAGCGACGTTCTGCAAAGGCCCTGCTATATGACGATGATGACATGTTTTTTATTGTTGTTCTTGTGTCCTTTTTTATCTACAATATCCCACTGATTTCACTGCAAGGAGGTTCCAGTTATATTAATATCAAGTTTTCTCAATGTGTTCCCTATCCAGTGCTAGCCAGCCCCCTTTTCAGACATCACATTATTACTTTTACCGTTCTGGATGGCGTACGTCCCTCAGGCATGGTGCATCGACCTGTCAGGCAGCAGAGGTTGCACAGGCAGAGAAACGGAGGCAGACTAGAAAAAAATCGTACCGCTAATCCCACACCTACTGTGGCTTCCACCTGTTGTCCGCACTGCTCAAGAACTTTTCAGGCTCATATTGGACTAGACAGCCACCTTTGTACTAATAATCACTAATCATTACTTCTTTGGATGAAAGTGGTCTTTATCACTGGTGATGGACGAACAACATTATTACTTTTAGTGAGATCAATTTTATTTCCCAGGCCACCAACAATCACATTCAACATGGTCAAAACACCTTTACTTTCAGGACAGGATGCTGTTTATGAGCCAATTCTCTGTGCTGCTCAGATCATGTAGGTTGTTGGTGTTGTTCTTCTTGGTACTTGGTATTCTGGACAGATAGAAAGGTGCCAGCCAAACAAGATTCAAACCTACCAATTAAGAAGTGAATATGAAGGGTTGATGTGAGATTCTACCTCCAAACTTATGAAACTTAAGCTGCGAAATTCAATATATCGTGAAAACATATCTACATGCACTTGTAGAGAGCCTATGCACCATTGAGAGAAGAAAGATAGAGGAGGATAAGCAGCAGGAAGCACACACAAAAACAAACCAAAAAAAAAGCAATGGTGGAGAAGGAGGAGGAAGAGGAGAAGAAGAAAAAATAGAAGAAGAAGATAAAGAAGTAGCAGCAGCAGCAGAAGAAGAAGCAGAGGGGGAGGAGGAGGAGGAGAAGATGAAGAAAGAAAGAAGAAAAGACTTGGCAATAGCACTATCCTCAAAGGGGCTGGTTACTCCTAAAGTCTATTCTAGCACCTCTGCAACCAACAGATCAGAAGATAATCCTGTAACGAACAATGGACACATAAAAATAGCAACAGACGGTGTGGTGGGTAATGAACAGGCAGACAGATTTGCTGAATCTGCATCATTGGGTGGTGAATTGATACATGACAAGGCAGATGTGGTCAAGGCTCATTGGGAACAAGCAACAGAATCAGTAAAGATAGAAGATTATTATGGTCTTGAGAGAATGAGGCAGCTGGGTGTAACCAGAGGGTCTGGCCGGCTCACTACACTCAGAGGAAAGGCAAGACGGACATATAACCAGACTGTGACCAATACCATCAGTACTGGAACTCTGCGCTAGCTGCTGAAGATGAGGACAGAGCATGCATGGCAATGCCCTGAGAGCTGCTGTGATGTCAATTCTTGACTCAACAACTCAAACAGCAACAGAGACCACTATACCTGATGTGTATTGCTGTATTCCATCCACAATGCCAGTAAAGATGTGATGTTTACCAGCGACCCTGAGATCTGAAATTAATAAACATGATGGTAGTAGGTCATCATCGTCAACATCATCATCAAGTGCCTAAAATAACAGTAACATGAAGATAGTATATCTACATCATCATCAAGTGCCTTGCAGACTAGTGTGGGCGATCATGCCTTTCCCCAATCTGCGATTGTCTACAGTGTGTATCAGGTCAAGTGTTGACATCCTCCATGCCATGATAAAAGCTTGTTAAGAATCGTCTCACATTATCTACCTCTGTCTCTTTTTCCACAGCTCATACCAGTGGTCTCAACTATGATTTTGGGGCGTACCAGAGACATCCTGTAGTGTGTCAGTGATACATCCTTGGTTTGCTGATTGTTTCAGGAGGACTCAAGGTGCTCTAGGCAAAGTCATACCTCAGAGTAGCTGCAGACACAGACCACCCTTTTTAGAAAGTGCTGGATGCAGTTAAGGGTCTGTGGCTGATAAGAGGAAAGTCATGGATGGCTGAGGTGGAGGACATGATCAGACAGGTTTGCATCCTGGAGAACATAAGGTGGGGAAAGGAGTGGGTCAGATGTGAGAGGAACAGTCAGACTTGCGTAGAATTATAATCACCACTAAGTGGTAGTGCACGGAGTGGCTAGCAGGTGCCATGGAGTTAAAAATTCAGCAGTTAATTTAGAATAATGCTTGCTCGGGTGATGTGATTATTTATATAGACATTTCAGTGTCAAGAGGAAAAAGAAGTGCCTGGGGGTTCTTAGCAAAAGCTAATGATCAGTGTTTGGTGTAGGAGAGCTTAGCCTATGATACCACAACATCCAGCTTAAGAATGGAGGTGGAGGCAGTCACTGCAGCGTTCTGCTGGCTAGAGAACACAATACACACACATCGTTATTGTAACTCAGAAAGCATGCCTGACAAAGGTGAGGACAGGCATGCTTTGTGCAGAGTGGCATGCTTCGCTTCAGAGGTCACAGGTAAAAAGCATTGTTTGGATCTTTTCTCCGGGTATGTGGGTGTACTGATACATGCTGCAGGAGATCATGGATTATGGAGAGGCATGATCACCCACGCCAGCGGGAAGGCACCTGATGATGATGATGATGATGATGTGGGTGTGTTGGGAAGTGAACAGCTGGACAGATAGCTGGCTCTGCACAAGTTGGTGGAATACTAATACATGATAAGGCATATGTGGTTAAGGCCTTATGGGAGCGCGTGCCCAATACGGAACATTAAATTGATCATCAGTCTTGTGAGTGTGATGTAGTGAGGAGTGGCGAAAGGTTCTGGCTGATACTCGACGCTAAGAGAAAAAGCAAGACAGACATATAATCCGACTGCCACATGTGGCATGGTGACTTCTCTCACAGGCGTGAGTTAAGTCCAATGTGATGTGTATAAGGAAATACTCTGTACCTAACTCGGACACCAGCCCTTTAATATTCTGGTTTTATGGAACCTCATGCAAGACTAATGCTGCACGTCCTTGTGTGCACCACGGATGACGTCTCAAATGAGCATTAGCAGAGCTGTCAGGGGATCTTGGAGCTGGTGGTCCCCCAGAGGTGTAGTGTCCTTTTTGGCTCTTATTAGCCGGCCCGCAAACGCATGGGTGAAAGAATTTGTCAAAACACATTTGGAACATGAGTAAAGTCTGCTTGCCAAATGTATCACTTAATGACAACTCTCTGTAAAAAGTCTGGGGAGTAAAGGGAATGTGTGTTGTCCATCAAGATGATGATGACCACTCTTTTTCATCAAGTATGAGTACGAAGATGACTGATTAGGCCGATGTGGGCCCGAAAAGTTCTTGGACAGTGAGGACCGGGAATGAGCGTTGTGCCAGGGAGGAGATCTCCTGCAGTCGTCTTTCTGTCCATCCTTTTCTTAATAACGTCTTGCTGTTCTGTTGGCTTCACATGCAGCCGAGCCCTTGTGTAGAGCTGCACGCCATGCATTTGGGTCTTGAGAGGCAGCCTCCCAAGTGGTGTCATTCATCTCAAATGCTTTGAGTGAAGACTTCAAGGTGTCCTTCAAGCGTTTCTTTTGCCCACCTTTGGGAACGTTTCCCATTTTGCAGCTGACTTTCTGCCAGAGTAAACAGCTGGTGAGTGCCAGAAGACATATATAATATATGGTACATAAACATAATACATCAGATTAATAAATAAAGAATGTAATGAGAATTTCTTTAACAAAAACTGGCTCCCTTTAATACTTACCATATGCACCAGGCGAGCTGTCCGGATATCCGCATGGTTCTGGTTGTGGATGACCATTAGTCTCCTGCTGACGAAATCACTCAAGTCTGACACATGGGCAACCTAAAGGCAAGTAAACAGAAAGCAATGATCTATATCGCCCGTGTGTCACCGAGGCTCTCACGGGAAGCAAAGAATAGTGACACTGCACCCTACTAGGCATCACTCAAGTCTGACACATGGGCAACCTAAAGACAAGTAAACAGAAAACAATGATCTATACTGCCCGTGTGTCACGGGAAGCAAAGAATAGTGACACTGCACCCTACTAGGCATCACTCAAGTCTGACACATGGGCGACCTGAAGGCAAGTAAACAGAAAACAATGATCTATATTGCCCGTGTGTCACCAGGGCTCTCACGGGAAGCAAAGAATAGTGACACTGCACCCTACTAGGCATCACTTAAGTCTGACACATGGGCAACCTAAAGGCAAGTAAACAGAAAGCAATGATCTATATCGCTCGTGTGTCACCGGGGCTCTCACGGGAAGCAAAGAATAGTGACACTGCACCCTACTAGGCATCACTCAAGTCTGACACATGGGCAACCTAAAGGCAAGTAAACAGAAAGCAATGATCTATATCGCCCGTGTGTCACCGGGGCTCTCACGGGAAGCAAAGAATAGTGACACTGCACCCTACTAGGCATCACTCAAGGCATCACAAGTAAACAGAAAACAATGATCTATCCTGCCCGTGTGTCACGGGAAGCAAAGAATAGTGACACTGCATGCTACCAGGCATCACTCAAGTCTGACACATGGGCAACCTGAAGGCAAGTAAACAGAAAGCAATGATCTATATCGCCAGTGTGTCACCGGGGCTCTCAAGGAAAGCAAAGAATAGTGACACTGCACCCTACTAGGCATCACTCAAGTCTGACACATGGGCAACCTGAAGGCAAGTAAACAGAAAGCAATGATCTATATCGCTCGTGTGTCACCAGGGCTCTCACGGGAAGCAAAGAATAGTGACACTGCACCCTACTAGGCATCACTCAAGTCTGACACATGGGCAACCTGAAGGCAAGTAAACAGAAAGCAATGATCTATATCTGTGTCATCTCATAGTGACACTGCACCCTACTAGGCATCACTCAAGTCTGACACATGGGCAACCTGAAGGCAAGTAAACAGAAAGCAATGGCTCTCACGGGGCTCTCACAGGAAGCAAAGAATAGTGACACTGCACCCTACCAGATATCACTCAAGTCTGACACATGGGTAACCTGAAGGCAAGAACACAGAAAGCAATCTATATTGCCTGTGTTTCATCCGGGCTCTCATGGGAAGCAAAGAATAGTGGCATTGCATCAGGCATGTCGTAAGAGGCAACTAAGGTTAGTGTTGGGTTTGAGGTTGGCTACCTCATCCTGTAAAAACAATAGCCCAAAAAACCAACCAGCCATGGATAAGTCAAAAAGAGAAGCAAGTAAAACCCAGGGGATCAAGATAAGGGGAGGCTCTTCAAGTAAAAGAAGTATAAGAAGGGAGCTGGAGAATGAAGTTAGAAAAATGGGGAGGACATGGGGAGAGCTGCATGCGATAGCAAAGGATATAACAACTTGGCGTGAGTTGGTTGAGGGTCTATGCTCAATTTGGGGCTAGAAAGGCAGAAGAAGAAGAATTATCTACATAAAACTGCAGCATGTTGTGACAACTGGAAAGATTTATGGAAAGAGAGACAGAGGAAGGCAATGAGAGAAAATTCTTCATAGCTTTTTTTTTCTTCCATGGCATGGAAAGGTTTTATGCACAAACTGATACATGCTGTTGCAGACTGAAAGACAGAGTGGTAAAGCATGATCAATTCACATGTGTAAGCGTTAGCACATAACCATTACACTGCAGAGGGTATCACATGATATTTTTTTCTTTGTCGCTTTGCTTATGAGAGTGTGCGTGCACAGTCAGTGCACTAGTCTAGGCTGGTATTTTCTATTTCCAACTGCCAAGGGATTTTTTACGTGCACAACAATACACATGGGCGTCCAATCTCACTACCCAGAGACCAGGTCCAAGTCCACGTGAAAAAATACCATCCCTTACCGGGAACTGAACCCGGAACCTCTAGCCCTCAAGGTGGACACCATGTCTCGAGAACACGCAGCACCCTGAATGGAATGTATAAGTGCCAATTACAGCCATTATATGGGTACCTCACCACCAGAAAGACATGAAGCAGGATCATGTATGCTAGTCAGCAAGGCAGTTGATGATGATGAAATAAGAATGGTAAATGATTAAAGAAGGTATCTCAACTACAGATAACTAGGTCAATGTCATAATCCTCTATGTCATAACCATTAGGCAGGATTTTATCCTAATTTGTGTTTTAAACTGTAAAACTCACATATGTGTCACAAATGAGAGGAGTTTAGGGAGAAGAGAGGAAACAGGGATAACCGAAAAGAAGAAACAAGGAAACAGAAAAAGGACATATGAAAAAGGGAAGAGAAGAGATGGGGTAGGAGAAACAAGACTGAATGGGAGGACAAACGGGGCAAGGCAGAGAGAGAGTGTTGGAGAGGCCAGGATATAAACAGAGAGAGAGAGAGAAGTAGGAAATAGAGGATGGGAGGAAAAAAGAGAGACCAGAGGAATAGAAGAGAATTGGAGAAGGTCAACAAAGGCAAGACAGCGAGTGGAGGAGAGGTCTAGATACAATGAAAGAGACAGATATTAGAAAATGGTAAATGAGGATGGCTAAGAAATGGAGAAAGAAAGACAACGGACAGGAGGATGGGGGAGAATTTCAGAAGGACAAAGAGGGCAAGATGAGGTTTAAGAGAGAAACAGACATAAAGGAGCGAGAGAGAGAGAGAGAGAGAGAGAGAGAGAGAGAGAGAGAGAGAGAGAGAGAGAGAGGGAGAAAGAGATAAAGAAACAGAGAAATAATATGGGTGTCAAATGAGGAAAGGAAGACAGGGGTAGGAGGATGTGACAGTAGGTAAGAATGGAGAAGGACAACAATGCAAGATACAGATAGCATTATTAATTATATCTGAAACATTGCACCACGCTATCTGTAACATAGAAATATGCTATCTGTATGCTGTATGAAACATAGCAATACGATATCTGTAACATAGAAATATGCTATCTGTATGCTGTATGAAACATAGCAATACGATATCTGTAACATAGAAATATGCTATCTAAAACATAGCAAAATGCTATCTGAAACCCAGAAATATGCTATCTGTATGCTTCTGAAACACAGCAATACACTATCTGAAACATAGCAATACGCTATCGAAACAAAGCAATATGCTATCTGAAACATAGCAATATGCTATCTGAAACAAAGCAAAATGCTATCTGAAACTCAGAAATATGCTATCTGTATGCTTTCTGAAACACAGCAATACACTATCTGAAACATAGCAATACGCTATCGAAACAAAGCAATATGCTATCTGAAACAAAGCAATATGCTATCTGAAACAAAGCAATATGCTATATGAAACAAAGCAAAATGCTATCTAAAACTCAGAAATATGCTATCTGTATGCTATCTGAAACACAGCAATACAGTATCTGAAATATAGCAATAAGCTATCTGAAACATATAAATATGCTATCTATATGCTATTTGGAACATAGAAATATGCTAATAGTAATCTATCTGAAACAGCAATACGCTATCTGAAACATAGCAATACGCTATCTAAAATATAGAAATATGCTATCTGACACACACATATATGCTAGCTGAAACATATACAAATGCTATCTGAAACACATAGATAAGCTAGCTAAAACACACAGATATGCTAGCTGAAACACATAGATAAGCTAGCTGAAACACACAGATATGATAGCTGAAACACACAGATATGCTAGCTGAAACACACAGATAAGCTAGCTGAAACACATAGATATGCTATCTGAAACACAGCAATACAGTATCTGAAATATAGCAATAAGCTATCTGAAACACAGCAATACACTATCTGAAACATATAAATATGCTATCTATATGCTATTTGGAACATAGAAATATGCTAATAGTAATCTATCTGAAACAGCAATACGCTATCTGAAACATAGCAATACGCTATCTAAAATTTAGAAATATGCTATCTGACACACATATATGCTAGCTGAAACATATACAAATTCTATCTGAAACACATAGATAAGCTAGCTGAAACACACAGATTTGCTGGCTGAAACACATAGATAAGCTAGCTGAAACACACAGATATGCTAGCTGAAACACACAGATATGCTAGCTGAAACACATAGATAAGCTAGCTGAAACACATAGATATGCTAGCTAAAACACACAGATATGCTAGCTGAAACACACAGATATGCTAGCTGAAACACACAGATATGCTAGCTGAAACACACAGATAAGCTAGCTGAAACACATAGATATGCTAAGCAATACTAGATGAAAACACATAGATAAGCTAGCTGAAACACATAGATAAGCTAGCTGAAACAGCAATAGCAATACGCTATCTGAAACACAAATATGCTATCTGATAAGCTAGCTGAAACACACAGATAAGCTAGCTGAAACACATAGATAAGCTAGCTGAAACACATAGATAAGCTAGCTGAAACACATAGATAAGCTAGCTGAAACACATAGATAAGCTAGCTGAAACACATAGATATGCTAGCTAAAACACACAGATATGCTTGTTGAGACACACAGATATGCTAGCTGAAACATATACATATGCTATCTAAAAAAAAGAATTATACAATTTGAAACAGAAACATGCTGTCTCAGCCTTACAGGAACAAACTGCTGCAGACTCGGGGCATACATGTGAACCTCCAGCCTCCTTGCCTCCGCTTGTCTGAGATCTCTGGCACAATCTGAACCATCCTGAGGAACAACGTTAATGAATGAGTGAATGAATGAATGAATGCCTTCAACACACCAGGGATATTCAAACAAATGCTCCGTTCCCTTCTTTAATTATCATCATTATGTGCAGTATGGATAATATATCTCATAACATAAAAAACAATTCTTAACTGAAACCTTTGTGTGCGGATGTCACAAGTGGTGTTATCCTAACAAGTCAGCTGAAGTGAACCTGGTATTTCAACATTATGAACCTGCATTTGTTACCTTAAATTAAAAGAGCTTGACAAGTTAACAACTATACTAAATATTTTGTCAACAAATCAGTGTTATGTTTTAAACTTTGAAGTCTCTGGCAATGCTAAAAAGGACAGCATAGAAAAAGTAACTGCCATTCTTAAAAAAAAAATATTTAAAAAAATACCTCAATGGAAAACCAAGAGGTTCTAGAAAATTCCAAATGATGTCAGCAATCTGATGAAAGTGCTTGTCCAGATTTTCTTTCTGCACACATGAAAACAATGTTGCCTGGAAAAAAAGAAATCAGTAATCAAACAAAAGTTTCACCTTTGTATCTCATAACTCACGGATCATGCAGACATTGTCAATGCCCTTAGAGAGAGAGGAAGTTGCGAGGATTTTGGAAGCAACGTGTCCACATCGCTGCTAAGAATACAAGAACTGGGAGTACAGATGGGCAGAGCCAAGCATGAGAAGCACACCAGACGCATACAAAGTCTTTGTCAACCAGTATAGGACTGGCACTATTAACTGCACGCTGCTGATGAATATGTTGTTGTTGTTGTTATTATTGATCCAGCGGCGCATGAGCTTTCGCCCTTTGGCCCAATGCCATGTTGTGGCTGTATTCTGTTTAGATGTCCATTGAGTGGAGTATGTTGCGTTCTAAGTCTGAAGATGGTGGCCTGGTCCCTTCTTGTTAGATGATTAAAGCTGTCATTAGGAACAGGGCCAGCCATGTGTCTATAAACCTCTCTTCCAGTATCTCCCATGGCCTATCTGTTCAACCAAGTCTCTTTGTTTATAGCTCTTATAAGTGTTTTTGCTGTCTGTAGGGTTGTCGCTGTAGGTGGTTGTTCTTGTGTTGCTCATTTCTTTGCCAATCTGTCAGCTCTGTCATTACCTGGTGTGCCGGAGTGGCCTGGAATCCACCGCATCACTATTCTGATATTGTATGAGGTAATAAGCTGATCAGCATCCAGGATTATCTTGGCTACATCAGTTCTGCAGCGTTCACTGCCCTCCAGAGCTTGAAGGGCAGACATTGAATCTGTGAAGATGACAATATTTTGGGCCTTTGAAGGGTAAACATCCATTACAGTCTTTAGGTGGTATACTGCTGTTTCCAGTGCAATTATTTCAGCTTCATAATTTGAACAGGATTCCCCACAAGCATCAAAAATCTCTTCAGCAGATCCATCGGGATAACCTATGTAGATTCCGTGACCTGCTTTAATGGTAGCTTTAAATGCAGATCCATCAGTATAAACATGTATCCATTTTTGGGGATAAGAATCAATGGTCTTTAGTGAGGAGTTCATAAGAGCGATTGGGTCGGACTGTTTGGTTTCCCCGCCTACCAATTTAATTCGGACTTCTGGAGTTTTAAAGCGAGCATGTGGTGGTAGGTTTCTTGCAACATTCTGAATGCCCTGACATCTTTCTGGGAGGTGGTATCTGTCCTGAATTTCATTAACACAGTGTAAAACCGATTTGTGCTTTATTCTTTGTTTGTATTCCCAGTTTTCTACAGTGTCTATTAGGATGGTTACGATTCTTTCTAACGCTTCTTTCATTAATTTCTAAAGTTGCTTTTTCTCTCCGCAACCCGAGGGGTTCCCCATTTGTATATATTACACATGCAGCAGTTGGTGTAAACTGCAAAGCTCCGCAGATTAATCGGAGGGCATTATTTTGTACTCTGTCAAGAGTCTCTAGGTTAGTTTTGGAGCAAGTTGTAAGCAGTGAGTTGTTGTACTCAATCACAGAGCGAACATATCCTAGATATAAGCCCCTCAGAGTTTCCTTGTCTGATCCCAATGATGTACCTGCAAGTCTCTTTATGATGAATATGTTGAAGGGGGGATCTGAGCACCTATGGATGTGTCTTGAGTCATCATCATCATCAAGTACCTCGCTAGCTGGCGTAGGCATTCATGCATCTCCACAGATCTCGGTCTTTGCTGATCTGGATCCAATTCCACTGATGGTATTTCTCCACGCCACTGTCTTAAGCCATCCACCATCTTTGTCTTGATCAGTGATCTTTCCAGTCGTTCTGATATTTTCAAGTGCTCCTTTTTGTCATCATATGACCATAGAACTATGTCTGTGTCATTATCTGTGTGCTGTGAAAACAATCCAATCCATAAGCTATCAGTTTTGGAACTGTGCTGGCTGCTGAAGATGAGGACGGAGCACACATGGGAATGCCCTGAGTGCTGTGATGTCAATTCTTAACTCAACTCAACTCCAAACCATAACTCACTCACCTTTGTAAATCTGAACATAGAAAATATACTGAAAAATCTTTTGTCTCTGTATCTTGACATGTACATAATCAGAATCACTATCCAGTCAAGCCATTATATGGCACAGAGGGCCAACAGTCTATTCCTTCATTTCATTCTATCCTATGCAATCACTTGGATATCATGGATGGAATCCAGTCCAGCACCTTTGGCCTCTCTCACTGACATTCACTTTAGGATTTCTTTTGGACGTCCTCGCTTCCTCAATACCTTTATTTCCCATTTCAATGCCTGTCTGGGGATTCTCTGCTGGTTTCTTCACAGAATGTTTTCAATATGGCGCCATCTTCTTGTGAGGATTTTCTGTAAGAACCACATCTCTGAGGCCTCAAGAAATTGTATGGCTGGTTTATTAATTAAAGAACTGATACCCATATCAAAGGGAGACATTTTGATATTCTTGGGGCGTTTTATAGTAAAGTAACAGTAAAGGTCCCTTTTCCACGCCCTTAGGGGCAGTGGGAATATAGGGCTGAACCTATATTTTATTAAACACTTGGTGGGTTATTTGGTCAGCTTTGCAATGGCCACCTTTACTTCCCAGGACTGCACCTGGTACCCGCTCAAGACTGGTTTGACCTGGGATTCAAGGTCAATTTTGAAAAAAGTCCGGCTCCGTCAGGACGCGAACCCACAACGTTCAGATCCGCAGGTGGGCATCTAGCCACCAACGCCACGGCCGACTCCCTTAGACATTTTATGGGAAGGGGAGTTCTGGAATATATTGGGACAGAGAAGCTGCGAGTCTATGAGAGAGGATGTTGCACAGTATGGTATCACTGTCTGAAAGAAAATCTGTATCAGAATGACCGTTGGCACACAGGACCCCAGGCTCTTGACAGACATAGTAATGGACAACATACAGCTGGTCCATTCAAGTAACAACTCACAGATTGAATCTAGCAAGCAGATCATTGCCAACTGCACTGTATTAACTCCACCAGACCAATGTCCTGCTACTGCGGTAATTTTCTAACTTGCCACTATACCTGTGTCCCGATTTGTGTACTATGTTATAAAATGTGTCACAAAGTAAAATAACTAGCCAATCGTGATTAAACCACATGGTAAGTCACTGCAAATTGCTGCCCACGTGGGTTTAGATTTACTTTGTGTGGTTTACATGAAAAAAATTCTGAAAATTCACAATTAAACGAGTGGCTAATAAACCAAGCACTTTGACATGAAAGTGAAGTAGGTCTTTTCACAGTCCAACAGGTGATCGATACTTTGGTTGATTCAGACTCTGCGGAGTCATAATTTCATGAATATGAATTGAATAATTTCATTTCAGTGGTTGATTATAGCAAGAGTCAGCGGCTGATGAGAGGGAAGTCATGGACGGCTCAGGCAAAAGACACAATTGGACAGGTTTGCATCCTTGAGAACATTAGGCGAAGAGAGGAGTGGATCAAAAAGCCACCTGAACAGTCAGACTTGTGTAGGGTCATAATCGCACTGAGCCGGGAATGCAGAGATTTGACAGAAGGTGCCACGAAGATGGAAATTTAGCAATTAATTCAAGATAATGCTCGCTCAGAGGATGTGATCATTTACACAGATGGTTCAGTGTCAGGAGGCAAAAAAAGTGCTCGGGGCTTCATAGCAAACGTTAATGGTCGACCTTTGTTGCAGGAGAGCCTAGCATAGGATACCACAACATCCAGCTTAAGAATGGAGGTGGAGGCAGTAACTGCAACTTTCTGCTGGTTATAGAACACGACACACACACACGTCGTGATTGTAACTGACTCAGAAAGCATGCTGAGGAAGACCAGGACAGGCATGCTTCATGCAGAGTGGCATGCCTTGCTGCGGAGGACACGGGTGAGGAGTATTGTCTGGATTTTTTCACCAGGGACTCAGGTGTGTTGGGAAATGAACAGGCGGACAGACTGGCTGGCTCTGCACAACTTGATGGAATATTGATACATGATAAGGCAGATGTGGTTAGTGCCTTGTGGGAGAGCATGTACAGTTCGGAGGAGCAGATGGATCACCACAGTAGGGTGAGATTGATGCAAGGGGGACGAGAGGTTCTGGCAGATGCTCGAGGCTTAGAGGAAAGGCAAGACGGACCTTTTAATCAGAATGCTACTGGCACCATTAGCATCGGAACTCTTCGCTGGCTGCTAAAGATGGGGACGGAGCGCTTATGGGAATGCCACGAGTGCTATGATGTTGGTTCTTGAATCAAATCAAATAATGTCATGAAGAATACGTTCCTAGTTACAGTGACACAGTCAGTGAGAGCTCAAATGATGAGGGGATTTTGGAAATTAAAAATCTAAAAATAGATGCTAGTAGGAGAAGGGAGCGTGTCCCTCAAACAGCAACATCTGGTGTTTACTTTGTGAAACAAGGTTGTTCCTGCTGGGTGGATTAGCACACAAAGGTGGAATATTGATGCTAGATGAAAGGTAAACCTATTTTCTACAATCTCTCCAAGTTTCATTTTATTCTAGCCACTTGTTTGCATGTATCTAAAATTTGTGTACATCATGTTGTTTTTTTTGCATTGATGCCCGGGAACTCAGGTATAGGGGACAGTAAGGTTCAGGGCCTCAAGTCTGGTAGGGTTAATGATCTGTCAACACTAGGGCCCAGGCCTCTAGCCTGTGATGATCCCCATTTTCAGCACTGAGTTGAGTCAAGAATTGACATCACAGCACTTAGGACATTCCCATGCATGCTCCGTCCTCATCTTCAGCAGCCAGTGCAGTGTTACAATACTGATGGTACCGGTCACAATCTGGTTATATGTTTGTCTTGAGTTTTCTCTGAGTGTAGTGAGCTGGCCAGACCCTCTGGTTACACCCAGATGCCTCCTTCTTTCCAGGACATAATAATCTTCTATCTCTACTGATTCCATTGCTTGTTTCCAAAGGGCCTTGACCACATCTGTCTTGTCATGTATCAATTCACCACCCAGTGGTGCAGATCCAGCCAATCTGTCTGTTGATTACCCACCACGCCAGCATGGTCTGGAGAAAGGATCCAAAGTATGCTCACTACCCTTGACCTTTCCAGTAAAGCTTGTCATTCTGCTTGAAGCATCCCTGTCTTCACCTTTCTTGGCATGATGTCAGAGTCTATTATAATTACGACATGTGTATGCATCTGGTTCTCTAGCCACTGGAGAGCTGCAGTTACCACCTAAACCTCCATTCTTATGCTACATGTTGTGGTGTCGTATGCTAGGCTGTCAAGCACTAAAGATTTTCCATTGGCTTTCGCTACAAAACCCCAGGCACTTCTTTCCTCTCAGCACCGAACCATCTGTATAGATAATCAGCATGATGGCCCCTGAGTGCACAAAGCTGAACAGCCTCGACATGCTGCATGTACTTCAGTAAGTGTGTGTTTGTGATTGTGGTGTGTGTATGTTTCTGTATGTATGTGGCAGGGGCTGTGTTAGCGCAGTCGATAGGAGACTTGCTTTCAAATCCAGCTACAACTCGCTGCAGCCCATGGCCAGTATTCGAAACCAGGCGGTTCTTGGGATTCACCCAGCCCCTAGGAAATGGGTACCAGAGTTAACACTCTGGGGTAAATGAAAGAACCTCATTGTAGCTATGGAATTGCATGCGGACGGCGACACAGGCAGACAGTTTCTTATCAGCTGTCCGTACTTGTGGCAGAGCACTTATGGTTTATAACCGTGTGCAATGACGCTGGTTCACATCTCCCGACTTTACCTTTACCTTTTATTTCTGTATGTGCTTATGTGTCTCTGCATGTATACAAGTGTGTTCACAGAAGGCAAAACTTCACTGCTAAAAATGAAGCTAACAGCATCAATTTACACAAAGAAACTATGTTTATGTGTTCAAGTAACAATAAAACAACAGAGAGACCTGTGTAGATTGTACAGCTCCAAACAAACCTGGTAGATTACCTGTGAACACACAAATAATGAAACCATACAACAATTATTTTGATTAATGATAATGAGTCAAACATAACTTCTACAAACTCCTTCCACTATCACCATTTTTGAAGTAATTCAGTTGTTTTGTTCCATTATTTTGTGTTGTCTGACTGTCTGGACAGTGGAGATCTCTTAGAATTATTAAAAATAAATTCTTTAGAAAAAATGTATTAACATATCTGTATGTTGGTTAACATGGATTATGCTGGGATATCTTCTTCTTCTTCTTCGCGTTCACCAGCTGTAAACTCTGGTGGATAGTTCTGGTTGTTCATCTACTCCTGGACTGCAGTCCTGTTCCAGAACCTGAGTGTTACGTGTGCATCCATGTTACAGATCTGACTAATTTGTATGCAGACTGCTGGTCCCTTGCCTCTCAGGGCAATCCAACTTCGAAGGAAGCTCCCAATTAGCCGACTTTTACGACATGCTTTTTGGTAGGCAGTGGGTCGATTCTTGTTTTCCCCACAATAGGGCCCTGGAACCCACACGGGGATGCTGCAATATAATCTGGACCTGCAGCTTTCTCATCTGTTAGAATGCTGATAACTTTTCCAACTTCCTCTTTAGATGTTCTTCAGTTGATATCCAGCACCACATTTGCAGGCTGGGCATCTGGAAGACTTCAACTACTCCCTTTGGAGGTTTCAGGTCAAGGGATGTTCATCAACCGACAATAAACATCAAGTACGCTGTCCTCAGAAACAATAAGAATGAAATTATGCTCCATCAAAAATTATAACTTTTCCAGTTTCCAATATCATAGAATGCAAAGTGAGCACGGAAGAGATAGTTTCGTATAGCTGACACTGTGATTAGAATGTGAAATGTTGGGCTTTCACATATTCTAAGCTACAACATATAAGATTGGGTGGCCAGTTCCCTTACTCATTGCTTTTCCATCCAAGACAATTTTGGAAATGGTCTGGTATCCATTCTTACAAGCCTGTGTTGACCTTGAAGCCGCACAGGTAGGAGAAAATCCTGCCTCTTTGGGATCCTGAATCCGATCGAAGCACAGTCAGTAGGATAGGTTATTTTTTACTGTATTTTTTCATATCACTTCTTAAATTATTTCATGCTTTAAAATTTTTCTTTCTGAGTTATGGCCCTTGCCGCTCACAGCTTTATTTCTGGCTAGTATGTATTTCCAGTGATTACACCGATGTCAGAGATTCACCTGGCCAGAAGGTAATGTGATTTATCACAGACATTTAATTTAAATGATTTTTTGGTATTCTTGTTTATGTCTGTTGTATTGTATATTTATTTAATGGGCTGATGATGAGGGCTTTCCAGCAGCAACGTTCACTTGCCATTTGTGTTTGTGATGATGCGAAGCTTACTGGTTCAACTTTTTTTTGCATTGTATGTTTGCAATATATATGACAAACCCATTATCCTGTAGGTATACAGCAAGCTGTATTTCCTACAACAAATTATAAAATCAGCATCACCTCCAACATTCACCTTTTGCCATTAAGTGGCATGACAAGGAACAGTTTATGGACCAATGATAGATGGGTGAAATTCAACCGTAATTTCATGTGGATGTACTATGTATGCCAGCAATCCCTTTTCTCCTTAAGCACTCTCTCAGAACTTTCTGCACTTTTTACAGTCGGTGAACGCGAAGAAGAAGAAGAAGAAGAAGAAGAAGAAGAAGAAGAAGAAGACTGTGTGTTTTATTGTTTTTTACCTCTTCGTTGATGACTCTGACTTTTCTTGTTTTTCCTGCAGCATTTCTAAAATATCTTACATATCTATACTATGCTATCTATAAACATACCCTCAATTGTTGCGTACAAGTCAACCTCTAGACTCCAATCTTCCTTGATGTTCAGATCTTTCAAGATGTCATTCTCCTCTTCTTTGTTCAAGATATTCTGAGAATCTTTCTATAGCATTTCAGCTCAAAAGCCCCTATTCTCTTTCTTAAGGACTGGGAGATAGTCCACGACTCACATCCGTATGTAGCCACAGGGAAGATGCATGATCTTAAAATTCTAATTTTGATCTACTTGCTGGTGAAAGGCTTAATTACTTGACCTATTTGCCACAATTTATGGTAAGTGAAAGTCTGACTCTAACTTACCATTCTGATAGCACCTACCACAGGAGAACATGTTGAGGGGAATAATACTGTTCCCAAGACACGTCTTTGCTACGTAGGCTGGAGGTGGATACATAAAATAAAAATAAAGCATCATTTTCATGCCATGAAGACTATTCGGTATATGGTGCTAACCTATTATTTTCATAGATCAACTTTTCTTCTTTCTCTTGAAATCTCATTGTTATGGTAACTAATATGTAATGAAATATCTGCAATAGATGATGAAAAGATATTTATATTAACAAAGATTTATCATTAGCAAGAATTTCACACATATGCACTTAAGAGCTTCAGTAAAGGACTTTTTCCAGCTTTCAGGCATATTGAGCCTTTGTTAGTCCAGGTTTAACTGTCTGTAGGTGAGCTTTAATAATGTCCAGGTTTAACTGTCTGTAGGTGAGCTTTGATAATGTCCAGGTTTAACCGTCTGTAGGTGGGCTTTAATAATGTCCACATTTAAGCCTTTGATAATGTCCAGGTTCAAACTGTCTGTAGGTGAGCTTTGATAATGTCCAGGTTTGAGCCTAGACATATATTTTATAAACCAATCGGCACTTGGTGGGTGATGTCTCAACATCACGCCAGCCACCTTCACTTTGCAGGACTTGACCCATTTAAGGCTGTGTTGACCGCTGTGCCAAAGTCATCTAAAAGGAAAGTTAAAAGAGTTTTCTGATCTGAACCTATGGCCTTTGGATCCTCAGATGAGCATCTAGCCGCTACAGAATGGTGACTCCTAAGAGTTCAGTATGCGCACCAAACAGATCTCCGTGTTTTCACATTAATGTATAAAAGAAATTGCATCTTTTAGAAAAAGGAATTGAAAGCCACAAAATATTGGAGTTTTAATTACAAAAACATTAGCGTCATGTGGCTTAGGGGCTGTGAACATAACTTCTCAATCCTGACACACCAAAGCTCAAAGAGCTGCAGGTGATGCAGGAGCAGACTACTCTGCACTCATTTTGCCAACAGTATGAGTGACTTGCCATTCGGAAAGCAATGGCAAACTATTGAGCATAAACTGCCTTTAAAAATGCCAAAGAGCAATAAAAAAAATGCTGAGGTGGGGTTGCAGATCCCTGTAAAGGTTATGCAATTAATATGATGCAAAATGCAATAACAAAAGCAGCTTTTAGAAATATGCACAAATTGCTGCAGACTGACATTGAGGACTAGAGTTGTCAAGACTGAGGCTAAGGACAAATAAATAATAAAGGCCACACATGTCAGGAAAGATAACATCAGTGAAAATCTACACCAGCACGATGTGTCTATAGTCAAGGTGACCAGAAGAGCAACAAGCAGAACCTTACATCTCCCTCTACCTGTGTAGATTCCAGAGCCCCATTGTTGGGGGGTGGTGGTGGGAGAGGGAATAGGCCTCACTAACCAGCATGTTGTAGGACTCAACTTATTAGGGGTATCGTTCAAAGTTGGATTGCATCTGCCTGAGAGGTAAGGAACCAGCAGTCTGCATACAAATAAGACAGATCTTTAAAATGGATGTGCACACAAAATTCAAGTTCTGGAACAAGTCCAGAAGTAGACAAACAAACAGAAATTTCTGCCGGAGTGAACACGAAGAAGAAGAAATCTCCTTCAACATCAGAAGCAGAAAAAAAGAGGCATTGAAGACAAAGCAAAAGAAGATACATGATAGGACTGATGAAGAAGAAGAAGAAGATAATGACAGGAATAAAGAGGAAATAGATACGTGACAGGGCTAAAGAATCTTCACGACTGACATCGATACAACTCATACACATAGCCAGCAACAAATGTAAGTAGGGGAGAACATAAACGTATTCACAAGAGATGAAGCCTTATTACAGGTTTCGAAAACAGAGTCTTACGACGAATCTTTGTACCCATCAAAGATGCAAACAACGGTAAATGGAGAGTGAGAAGCAACAACGAAATTCATTATCTGTTTAAACCACCACTGATCACTGGCATCATGAGAGCTAATAGACTGAAATGGTTGGGGCGTATTGAAAGAATGTCAGATGACAGAGAAGTAAAAAAACTGTATACATCAGGGAGATGAATGGTTGTAGACAACGAGGCAGACCACGAAGACTATGGAGAGATAAGGGCCAGACAGACCTGCAAATACTTAGTGTCACCAACTGGAAAGAGAAGGCCAACCAGAGAGATGAACTGAGGTGGGTGATATCCGCAGCAATGAACCTCAAGGGCTCGGAACGCAGAAGAAGAAGATGCATGCTTGCTTCCAGCAGTTACTTTGCCATAGTTATTCTGCCATAAATGTCAGTATAGCTCTGATATTGTCATCAAAACAATTACGACAGGTCTAACTTAATCAAGTCTCTAGATTATTTAGGAGAAATGTTCTTGTCAATAAACGACTGCATCTATTAATGCCAAGGAACCTGTTGCATGGAGAGTGAGAATCAGGAAGGGAGTGAGAATCAGGAAGGGAGTGAGAATCAGGAAGGGAGTGAGAATCAGGAAGGGAGTGAGAATCAGGAAGGGAGTGAGAATCAGGAAGGGAGTGAGAATCAGGAAGGGAGTGAGAATCAGGAAGGGAATGAGAATAAAGGAGAAAATGAATGCAGACAGGTTGTGAACTGAGCATCGGGAGAAGATGCAGACCACATACATGTGATAGTAACAACGGTCCTGACATCCCATACTCTGGCTGTGGTAGACAATTTTTAACATAGGCATATCACTTCAAAGGTCCCGGGTAGTTAGCATCCTTTGGATATTTTCTCCAAGAATGCCGGTGTGTTGGGAAATTAGCATGCACCTAGGGTCAAGAGAACAGTCATCACAGGCGTTCACACATATGTAATAAAGCTACCTGGGTGACATTTTTTTGATCATAAAGGATTTTTCCCCCACACCTTCAGGCATATTGGTCCAAAAGGGCTAGACCTCTATTTTATAGACACATCAGCACTTGGTGGATGATGTGGTCAGAAGCTGCCTTTACTTCCCAGGACTGCACCTGATACTCATTCAAGGCTGGGTTGACTTTGCTGCCAAGGTCTTTTGTGGAGAAAAAAAAAACACCAGCTAAGCCAGGACCCCAACTCTGGACCCTGTGATCCCCATATGATCATAACTTGTATATAAAATAAAACGGAAAGGTCACTTTATAATTCTCTGGGGCATAACTGAGTATATTGTGCTGGGTGGGGTGAGGGGGGGGGGGGGGGGGGGGTAGGTTGCTGAACAGACCCACGGCTCTCTTAACTCTTCCAATCATAAGAAAATTCCACAAGAAGTTGCCTAAATAGAACAACAGCTACAGTAAAGACATTGTCTTCACACTGCCAGCATATGATGCACTGCATTAAACACATCTTGTTGCCAGATGTCTTTAGTCAGCTAAGACTCATCATCATCATCATGTAGCAGGTCCTTTGCAGAACGTCGCTCTCATCACAGTCTACCTGAAAGAAACTCAGTCTCTCGCCAGTTCTCCCGCCTCGTGTACTTTCATACTCAAGGAGTCACTTATATCCTGCGTCCATCTTCGTGTCGATCGGCCCTTGCCCCTCCTTCCTGGTACCATGCCTTCTGCTATAATTGTTTCCAATCCGTCGTGGTGCTTGATATGACCAAAATATTTCAGCTTTCGAGAAAGGATACTGTTTATTAGCCAATCTTCCTTGATGTTCAGATCTTTAAAGATGTCAATATTTCATTTTTGGCTTCCATGATGAGTTTCTTGGGATAGTAATGTGGTAGTTTCCCGTTGCTTTCCAAACATACAAAATATCATTCCACACCACGGCACTGTCTCATACACACACAAGTAGCTGAGTACACAAGCATTTCTAGGGACAGAAAGAGTTAACCAGCATCTCATAAAGGAGACAAATTAAGTGTTTGCTTAAGTTGGATGTGTTGGGCCAAAAGGCCCGCCTGTAAACCCCACACAACATGCTAGCCACCCTTATAAAGGTGCATGCAGAAGAAGAAGAAGAAGAAGAATCAAAACCATGATGGCTGCCTTTCCCACCAGAAATTTCCCCATACTTATTTTTAGACTGGGTTTGACGGAACTCCAGAAAAATCTTCACCTCAGCATGGATTCAAACACACGATCATCAAGTCAGCAGGCAAATGTGCTAGCCTAATTTTTATAGAACATGCAAACTGTGCACCTACCTGCGAATGTTGGCAATGTAACACCAGCTAAATGGTTCATCGGCTCTATCACATCTTTGGTTGCACTTAACATTGTCAAAACCTGAAGACATCGACAACAAAAGCAGATAAAATATAAGCCTGATGGTACAGACAAGAAAATCATGAGTAACATAAGCTTGAGGACATGTGCAACAAAATCATGAGTAACATAAGCTTGAAGACACGTGAAACAAAATCATGAGTAACATAAGCTTGAAGACACGTGCAACAAAATCGTAGGTAACATAAGCTTGATGACACGTGCAACAAAATCATGAGTAACATAAGCTTGATGACATGTGAAACAAAATCATGAGTAACATAAGCTGGAAGACACGTGCAACAAAATCGTAGGTAACATAAGCTTGATGACATGTGCAACAAAATCATGAGTAACATAAGCTTGAAGACACGTGAAACTAAATCACGAGTAACATAAGCTGGAAGACACGTGCAACAAAATCGTAGGTAACATAAGCTTGATGACATGTGCAACAAAATCATGAGTAACATAAGCTTGAAGACACGTGCAACAAAATCGTAGGTAACATAAGCGTGATGACATGCGCAACAAAATCATAAGTAACATAAGCTTGAAGACATGTGCTACAAAATCATGAGTAACATAAGCTTGAAGACATGTGCAACAAAATCATGATTAACACAAGCTGTAAGACGTGTGCAACAAAATCATGAGTAACATAAGCTTGAAGACACGTGCAACAAAATCGTAGGTAACATAAGCTTGATGACATGTGCAACAAAATCATGAGTAACATAAGCTTGAAGACACGTGCAACAAAATCGTAGGTAACATAAGCTTGATGACATGCGCAACAAAATCATAAGTAACATAAGCTTGAAGACATGTGCTACAAAATCATAAGTAACATAAGCTTAAAGACATGTGCAACAAAATCATGAATTGCGAAAGCCTGATGGTAGAACACTGATATGAATTACACAAGCCTGAAGGAAGGACAATCTACATTCTTTGGTCAGGTTATGAGAAAGAGAAAACTGGAGAACATCATGATAGCAAGAAAGTTGGAGGGGAAAAGAGGTAGAGAGAGACTGAGAGAAAGAAGACGCTGGATAGTCTTACATCAGAGCATGGGAGATTATCTTTATCAGAACTGACTGAAAGCATATGAGAAAGAGGTTGTGAAGAGACACGTCTACCAGTGGCTATAAGAATAAGAAGAAAGTAGGACAACAAAATCATGAATTACAAAGCCTGAAGCACAGAGAAATAAAACCATGAAATACAGTCCCCAGAAACTATCCAGATGTTCCAAATCTTGCATTTCTTTTTCCTCAACATTTTGAGCCCATTGCTGCAGATATCACCCACCTCCACTCATCTCTCTGGTTGGCCTTTTCATCCAGTTGTTGACACCAAGTGTTTGTAAGTCTGTTTGGACATTATCTCTATAATCTTCTTGGTCTGCCTCGTGGTCTATGACCATTCATCTTCCTTGTGCATTTTGCTTTTACTTCTCTGTCATTTGACATTCTCTCAATATGCCTCAACCATTTCAGTCTATTAGATCTTATGATGCCAGTGATCAATGATAATTATAAATTTCATTGTTGCTTCTCACTCTCCATTTCCCGCTGTTTGCATCTTTGATGGGTCCAATGATTCGTTGTAAGACTGTTTTTGAAAATTTGTAACAATGCTTCATCTCTTTTAGTTGTGCTCCAAGTTTAAGACCCATATAAAATGATTGGTCTTTTCAACATTTTATATATGTTGATCTTGGTGTTGCGAGATAGAGACTTTGACTTTAGCAAATGTTGAAGGGCATAGTATACTTTATTTCCAGTTGTATTCTAGATTGTATTTCTTCTCTCAGCATGTTCGAGCAGTTAAAGTTTGCCCCCCAAATACTTATTTCCGTTCGTGTGATTTTTTAAATTATCAACTTGTATTCGGCCGGAGTACATCCTTTCCCTGCCTTGTTAATATCATGTATTCTGACTTATCTTGATTTATGGGTTCAGTTCATAGATTACAATGTTTGGTTCACCAATTTTTACAGAAATCCCTGGGGATAACTACAGAGTCTGTGCTTTGTGCCACAGCTAGCAGCACTGTGGATAGAGATTGAGCCAAGCGGGATAAAACCTAGTGCAATGAAGTAGATTTCCTGGACATTAAACTGTGAATTAGTTTTGAAGTTACTAAAAAATCATGAGCTGCAACAAATCACTGGGACAGATTCAGGTTGAAACAGACTATACTAGCAATCTTGCAGGATTATGAAGAGGAGAAAGGAAGAAGAAAGCCAAGTAAAGAAGAAATTATAGAAGAAAATACAAAGAAGAGGAATATGACAAAGAAGAGGAGGAGGAAGAAGAAGGGGAGATTTTGAAAAGACCATTAAAAAGATGTCTAAAAATTAGAAATTAAGAAAACATGCAAAACTTACCTCATCTGTGTTGTGAATGTCATACCCACATCCTTCCTGTGGAGATATTTTATAATTTAAAAGGTCAGTTGCTTTTATTTTACTAAAATTACTTCCATTATTATGATTATTATTTTGCACTTTTACTACTGGGAGCTGCTGTGGTGTGGCGGCTGCAGGCTTGCCTGTAGACTGGAAGGTTGTGGGTTTGGATCCTGGCTGGATTTTATTTTAAAAAATGACCTTAGCTCCCAGGCCAAACCAGCCTTGAGGCGTAGTCTTGGAAAGTAAAGGTGGCTGGCGTGATGCTGACCACATCACCCACAAAGTGCCGATTGGTGTATAAAAATATGGGGCACTTTCCCATGTACCCGATGCGCCTAAGGCGTGAAAAGGGATCTTAACTTACTTTACCTATATGCCTAGTAGGCTTGAAGGCATTGTAAAGGGTTCTTTAGTTTACTCTCTTCTACAACTGCATCTTCCACTACTCCCACCCAACATCATCATCTACTGGATATATGAAATAAGAGATGATTAGAAGGCACCAGAAGCCAGATGTTGGTCTGTTCCTTGTTAACGATTTTCTTCTTTAGTCTCAACATGCCATCTATGGATTCCATGATTTTAATAAGTGATGAAAAAGGGAGGAGGAAGCGGCTGGTCAAGCAGGTAAGAACATTGGGAAGGGAGGGGGAAGCGGCTGGTCAAGCAGGTGAGAACATTGGGCTTTTATGCAGGAGATCATTGGTAAGGTATGCTCTTTTTTTCTTCAGGGGGCAAAAATAAAATCCTAACCTGTACAGTCCGTGGTTAGAGCACTGCCATGCAGCCCTAAATCCTCAGGCTCAAAGACCCTCCAACCCTATTATGCCTAGACTGCAAAACTTGTAAATACAAGCAGAAGTTGGCAGCTGTTATATGGCAGATGAGGAAGGGAATGACACCCCCCCCCCCCCCCACTGCCTAGAAGACCTTACAGAATGTATCTGCTATGGATTACTTGGGCTGTCTTAGCAGGCAAACAAATTCCCAATAATGCCATTACAGCTCCTAACTTGTTTTTGGCACAGGCAAAACTAAATATTTTACAGCAGCCCTGAGGAAAGGCACAGGGGTGGGGAGGTTGGAAATGGCAGAACAGAGAATACAGGAAAGTTCTGGTGTGGTTGGAAATTGCAGAACAGAGACTACAGGAAAGTTCTGGTGTGGTTGGAAATGGCAAAACAGAAACTACAGGAAAGTTCTGGTGTGGTTGGAAATGGCAGAACAGAGACTACAGGAAAGTTCTGGTGTGGTTGGAAATGGCAGAACAGAGACTACAGGAAAGTTCTGGTGTGGTTGGAAATGGCAGAACAGAGACTACAGGAAAGTTCTGGTGTGGTCGGAAATGGCAGAACAGAGACTACAGGAAAGTTCAGGTGTGGTTGGAAATGGCAGAACAGAAACTACAGGAAAGTTCTGGTGTGGTTGGAAATGGCAGAACAGAAACTACAGGAAAGTTCTGGTGTGGTTGGAAATGGCAGAACAGAGAATACAGGAAAGTTCTGGTGTGGTTGGAAATGGCAGAACAGAGACTACAGGAAAGTTCTGGTGTGGTTGGAAATGGCAGAACAGAAACTACAGGAAAGTTCTGGTGTGGTTGGAAATCGCAGAACAGAGACTACAGGAAAGTTCTGGTGTGGTTGGAAATGGCAGAACAGAGACTACAGGAATGTTCTGGTGTGGTTGGAAATGGCAGAACAGAGACTACAGGAATGTTCTGCTGTGGTTGGAAATGGCAGAACAGAGACTACAGGAAAGTTCTGGTGTGGTTGGAAATGGCAGAACAGAGACTACAGGAAATTTCTGGTGTGGTAGGAAATCGCAGAACAGAGACTACAGGAAAGTTCTGGTGTGGTTGGAAATGGCAGAACAGAGACTACAGGAATGTTCTGGTGTGGTTGGAAATGGCAGAACAGAGACTACAGGAAAGTTCTGGTGTGGTTGGAAATGGCAGAACAGAGACTACAGGAAAGTTCTGGTGTGGTTGGAAATGACCGAACAGAGAATACAGGAAAGTTCTGGTGTGGTTGGAAATGGCCGAACAGAGAATACAGGAAAGTTCTGGTGTGGTTGGAAATGGCAGAACAGAAACTACAGGAAAGTTCTGGTGTGGTTGGAAATGGCAGAACAGAGAATACAGGAAAGTTCTGGTGTGGTTGGAAATGGCAGAACAGAGACTACAGGAAAGTTCTGGTGTGGTTGGAAATGGCAGAACAGAAACTACAGGAAAGTTCTGGTGTGGTTGGAAATCGCAGAACAGAGACTACAGGAAAGTTCTGGTGTGGTTGGAAATGGCAGAACAGAGACTACAGGAATGTTCTGGTGTGGTTGGAAATGGCAGAACAGAGACTACAGGAATGTTCTGCTGTGGTTGGAAATGGCAGAACAGAGACTACAGGAAAGTTCTGGTGTGGTTGGAAATGGCAGAACAGAGACTACAGGAAATTTCTGGTGTGGTAGGAAATGGCAGAACAGAGACTACAGGAATGTTCTGCTGTGGTTGGAAATGGCAGAACAGAGACTACAGGAAATTTCTGGTGTGGTAGGAAATGGCAGAACAGAGACTACAGGAAATTTCTGGTGTGGTAGGAAATGGCAGAACAGAGACTACAGGAAAGTTCTGGTGTGGTTGGAAATGGCAGAACAGAGACTTCAGGAAAAGTTCTGGTTGTTAGCCCACTTCTAGACCTTGTTCTTGTCCCAGAAGCTAGGTTTTGCATGCACATGTTTTACAGATCTGGCCTATTTGTATGCAGACTGATGGTTGCTTGCCTCTCAGGCAAATGCATTCTGACTTCAATGAAAACACCACTAATTAATTAGGTCAATGGGTCTATTCCTTTTCAACAAAATAGGGCTACAAACACGGGGATGGAGTATCTGTGATAACTTTAGAAGTACTGTTTTGTTTGTGATCCAGACAGGACTGAATGTTTTAGCATGGCTGATGCTGAACGTGGAGGAGGAATGAAGAAGTTATAGAGCCAGAGAACAAAAAGGACAAAAACTGAGTAGCTTGGTGAAGTAGCAGAGAAAGTGGGCAGCTGGGAAACTTTACTCTTTCAGCACCCAACCACCATCATACATTCCTTAGTCTTTCCAAAGATAACATGTTCCTGCTGCTTTAAAAATCAGTTATAATATTATCCCTTTCGTATCTCAGTTATCAGTTCAAACACTTCATTCATAAGTATAACTTTAAAGATAGAAGAAGCTGAAGTGAAAATTGCGGGTGATGAAAACATTAAAAATGTATGATTGTGTAGAAAATGCTTCCCTTCAGCCGGCCACGCACATAGTTAACTCGGTTAAAAAGTTTAGTATTTACTGCTTAAAGCATAACTTCTGTGATAGATAAAGCTAAAGCATAACTTCTGTGATAGATAAAGCTAAAGCATAACTTCTGTGATAGATAAAGCTAAAGCATAACTTCTGTGAAAGATAAAGCTAAAGCATAACTTTTGAGATAGATAAAGCTAAAGCATAACATATGTGATAAAGCTAAAGCATAACTTCTGAGATAGATAAAGCTAAAGAATAACTTCTGAGATAGATAAAGCTAAAGGAAAACTTTTGAGATAGATAAAGCTAAAGCATAACTTCTGAGATAGATAAAGCTAAACCATAACTTCTGTGATAGATCAAAAATTTATGGAAAATAAATGCTTGTGTAGAAATATTTTCCTCCTGTATTGGCCACATATATTTAACTCAATGACAATTAAGTTTCTACAGCTTATTTTAACGAGTTTTCCTCGAGTGCCATGGTGGTAAGTGGAAAAACCATTATTTCATTTTACTAATTTCTGTAAACATACCGTAGATTTGCTAATATTTAATAGAATTGGGACAGAAGAAGTTGAAGTAAAAATCGCTTGGGAGGAAATAGTAAAAAATGTGAAATAACTGATTGTGTACAAACATGCTCTCTCTGTGTTGACCTGGCATATGATTTGATATGCCAGATTCTCTCACCATGATGGGTGTTTTGAAGAACTCTGGCCCAGCCATGTGTCGGTAGTTATTAGACTCCATGTAGCCACAGGCTGCTTTTGCTAGTGCCATCTCAGCTAGTGCCAGCTCTGTCTTCAAATAGTAAGCTTTAGGGCCGACGTTACTGGAAATATAGGAAATAATACATACTGGATGGAGAACATTAGTTTAAGTGTAAATGGTTCTTATTAATATCCTACCCCGGACCAGGTCACAGGACAGTCCAACATTTTAGAGGGTGGTAAGACTGGGTTTTCCAGCTTTCTGATGCTTTTAACAACCCCAAAACATCTAGAACTGGCCATAACCCCAACCCACCTACGTCTCACGAGAGAGTGCAGCCTAGGTCCCAAGACTGCATGCAGCCAATCTACCACCCCCTGAAATATTAGACTGTCCCGTGACCTGCGGATTTTCCCTGTTTAGGGTAGGATATTAATAAAGCACCATGAAAAGAAATTTAAAAAATCGCACAATGGAAGGCCATAAAATGGCAAACAGAAACTAATTATTGCTACAGTGAATGCATCAAAATACAAAATGGTTGTGGGAAAGACTAAAACAGATAGGTCAGGTCATTAGAAAAAGAGTTGGCATAAAACCAATACTGCATTACATTTGAAGTCAGTAAAGAAAACCTAGTCAGGTTACACCATACAATGTATATATTTCATCTTCTACGCATTCACTGCATTTAAACTCCTGAGGAAAGTTCTGGTTGTTCGTCCACTTCTGGACTTTAGTCTTGTTCTAGAACATGAATGTTGCGTACATTTTAATTTTTCAGATCTGGTTTATTTGTATGCAGACTGTTGGTACCATGCCCCTCAGGCAGTCCAACTTTGAAAGAAAACCCCCCAATCAGTTGACTCTTATGACATACTTGTTGGGGAGGCACTTGACCTATTCTTGTTTTAATCACAATGGGGCCCCGGAACTCACAAAGGGCCGATGTATATACAAAAAGAGAAAGATGAAGAGTTCAAAGTAGGCCACACACAAAAACCCAGGTGGGTTAACAAAGATCAAACCAGAAAAGTGTATGAGACTTTCAAGTGTCTATTGTTGAGGTCACCAGAAGAATGAGAACTGAAACCCTTTATATTCTAGTCATGTTAAGAGACCCAACGATGAGAGTGACCTCCATTCTCACTGATGCCTCGATCTGGTGAAGGACCTTTACTATGTCGCAGAGGTGCAACCTAGGTCGCATGAATGTACGCAGTGTATAATAGAGGCTGCCTACAGTCGTCAGACATAGGCTGAAGTTGCAGAGTAGGGGAAGGTTGGGGTCAGGCCTAGATGTATATTTTTCGTGACCGTTAAAAGCACTCACAGCATAGAAGACGCAGTATCGCCGGTCGCTGACTACAGGGAGTAAAATCTGACTCAGTACACCTGAAAGAACTGTGACATAGTAGAGGCGCTATTCCAGATCAATGCATCAATGGGAAGGGAGGTCACTCTTATTGTTGGGTCTCTTATCGTGATATGTACCCACTTCAAACCTGAAGCAGTAAAAGAGGAAGTGAAGGAGGAGGAAAGTTTTCTATCTACTTCTTTACTCTGTTCGTGACTGTTGATTACTCTTTTATCTCTCTTGACATATTTGGAAAAATAATTATAAAATGTAGACACATACATTTAAAAACAAAATTTGTTAGTGACCTGTGCATCTTCTTCTTAAAGTCCATGTCATGAGGCATTGGTAGACATGTCTATCCAAAACCTTCTGTCTTGTGTACTTTCAGTCAACTCTGACACAGATGATCCTTAATGCCACGATGTCAGACTGTCCAGTATCATTTCTCTCTGTCTCCCTCTGCCTCTCCTCCCCTTCAACTTCCCTACTGTCACGATGTACTCCAGTTTTCTCCTTCTCATCACACGACCAAAGAATGTAGATTGTCTCTTTCTGATGTGGACAATCAGTTCTCTTCATGAGTCAAGTTTCTTTCCACACATCCTCATGACTCTTTTTATCTGTCCAGGGTATTCTCATCATTCATCGATAAAACCACATTTCCAAAAAAAATTTCATTAATCTACCAACTGTCCATGATTTACTTCCATTTATTAAGATATGATTTATATTTTTTAAGAATTCTCTTTCACGTCTCAATTGACGAAAGATTGCATAAAACATTTTTCATTATGTAAAATGTGTATATGGTGGTCTTTTGAAGTATCCTTTCCGAAAATTCCCAAGGGTTCATGACCCATTTTTGTAAGCATTCGCGGGGTGAAATGGTTAACCCAGGTAGGCCAGGAAGCCACAGGCAGAAGCACAACAGCAACAGCCGAAAATAGCTTGTGGAAAAGCAGAACTGCTATAAAGTATTGAATTCATGACTATCTAGCGGCTTTCAGCCATCAACTGACTTCCTTCCTGACTGAGGTCATAATTTCTCATTCAATTAAAATCACAAACTCTTCTAATGGCTATTTATGTCTTTACTAAATCATATCAACTGCTTGTGTTGGCAGGTAGTTCTGTCTTGGTAAAACTAAGTTCTGGGGTGGTTGCCCTTAAAAAGGGTGGTGGCATGTTATATTGTGGTTTACAGCTAGGCTGTAATATTTGAGACTTTAGACAAACCATATTCTAATCTTTTAAAAGCCATAATTAGTTGTCTTTTACATCATCTTCATTAAGGGAACGTGATCTATTCTTTTTTTCTCCTCAATGCAACCCTGGAACCCCATCTGGTGAGTTGCAGGAGTCTTGTCCCTAAGAAAACAACTCAGCAGTGTGTTGAATTTGTGGATGTTTTATAGAAGCAGGGGTAAGAGAAGAAGGAACTGACAAGAAAAATGAACAGCAGAAAGGAAAGACTGGTTTTCATAAGCTTGCCCTTTTGCAATAAAGTGAGGTAGCGAGCATCTGAGAAACCAATTTAAATTCAAAGCAAAAAGTAAAACAAACATGCCTAAATTTAATCAAATCAAATTTCTTGGCGATAGCCACATGACTTTGGGTCCCGAGAGGTTCTGAAACAGACATAACACAATCATGTTAATCAAGCAGATTATTAACAATTTAAGATCTAGAAGTGAAATAAATCTATATTGAAAGATTACGTCCCCTGTAAGAGTACCATTTGGGGAAGGGTAATAGATTCACTGCCTCTCTTCCCTCCCAATAAGTATACACATTTAAACGGATAATGTATTCATCGGCACTTAAATAAAAAAAGTAAAAAAAAAAGAGAGAAGGACACATAAAAATCAAAAGTTACAGTCACCATGCTGGGAATCGAACCTGTCACATCCAAATTGTGCGTGTGCCTCGCTATGAAAACAAGTGTACTAAGAATATGACCAAGTAAGTACCCTCCCATAAAAAGGTGTCTCCATCGGCCATGTCTACTGCACTGCTTGAAATCCAAAACTATGGAATACAGACAGAATTAATCTCAAACCATTGAAATGGCTCCATAGGTTACAGAAATGTATATTAACCAAGTATAGGTCGAATAACAAACACAGCAACAATTTACAAACACAGCAGACCGTAAAGCTTTGTTTAGAATACATAAACATTTGAAAAGAAGACTGGATTGGTAGGTTCCATTGTGTTACACGCCATTCAGATAAATAAAGAGAGGTTCTCACCCCACCCTCCCCCAAATAAGCATGTGTAAAATTCAACAAATTACGGGGTTTCCTTCAAAGTCAGATTACATCTGCATGAGAGGCAAGGAACCAACAGTCTGCATATGAATAAGACAGATAAGTAAAATGGATGTGTGTGCAAAACTCAAATTCTGAAACAAGATTAAAGTCCAGAAGTAGATGAACAAGCAGAAGTTTCCACTAGAGCTTATAGCTGGTGAAAGTGAAGAAGAAGAAGACCAATCAGGTTTTATCTTCACAAAGAAGTACATATAGGTATGTTCATATGTTTAGCAGTCAAATTAATTAAGTATATATGGGACTGTTGACTGCAAAGGAATTGCATTACACAGCAGCAGCACTGCTTTTGATAATGACAACAGTATAAATATTATGTGATAACAACTTTATGTTTGTAACAAAGTCATTGCCCTGACACTCTGAGGCATTCTAGGAGTAGAGAAATGATGAAGGAAAAAGCAAATTAAGTCAATCATTTACAAGAGGATCTACTTAGAGGATCATAATGTTGAAATTGTAAAATCTTTGTAATCTATTGAGTGACACTGTTAAAACTACACACAAGCATACCTTAAGGTTCAACCATTCAACTGACAGTTGTTTACACAAAGCAGGAACTCCACAGCTCTGCCGATGATCCCCAGGGATCGTGATAAAAAATTATACTCATGAAATATACAAAGCAGCAGTAAAACGAACCTACAACCTCCAGACAGGAAGGCAAACAGCTTGCCATGGAGACCCTCCATGGGCAAGTGGACAAGCCATTTACCACATGCTGTGAAGGTTGTAAGTTCAATTCATGCTTGTGGAGAAAGACTGAGCCACATGGGATCAAACCCAGTGCAAATGAAGTCAACCCTCTTGATTTAAGTTTTGAATTCTTACTGTCATTAACTTTTATGACCTACTAACCTAGTTTTCCTTTGACTTCCCGAATAATTAGGTCATCATCAACTGGCTGTAACATAAGACATGAAAATACAATTATACAAAACAAACAGAACAGCAGATTATCTAGACTAGTTTAATTTACTTTAAAGGTGCAATCTTCTTCTTCTTCTTCCTTTTTAATCCCCAGTGCAGCATAGGCCCTCAACCAACTCATGCCAAGTTGTTCTATCCTCTGTTAGTGCATGCAGTTCTCCCCCTGCCCTCCCTATCTTTTTAATGTTCACTCTCAAGCTCCCTTCTCCATGTTTTTTTTAATTTTTATTTCTATGCCCCTGTAGGATCCAGTGGAAAGATGTTATATTTATACTGTTCTCAGGTTTTCTCAGCCTGTGTCCTATCCAACACCAGCTTCTTTTCTTCACCTCTTGGTCCATTGGAACTTGTTTAGTTCTCTCGCAAGGCTCTACAGTAGTGATTCTATCATACCATTTAATTCTGTCTACTCTGCGCAGGCACCAGTCAATGAATGTTTAAAGTTTTTTTTTTTTTTCAAAGTAACTGCCTCAGCTGTTCTCCTTGTTTCTGCTCTATACAACAGTATTGATTTGACATAAGAATTCCAAAATTTAGTTTTTAATTTCTTTTGTTGTCTTCTGGAGGACATTTGTGTTTGTGTGTAGGTAATTATCAGTAATAATGTTTTTTACTGTTCAAACCGATCATATCATCATGTAACAGGTCCTCTGCAGAACGTCGCTCTCATCAAAGTCTGCCTGAAAGTAACTCGGTCTCTCGCCCGTTCTCCCGCCTCATGTACTTTCATACTCAAGGAGTCACTTATATCCTGTGCCCATCTTCAAACCTATTCCTTTGCTAAATTTGCTTTCTTATCTGTTACTGTTATATCCTGTTAAAGTGCCTTGGAAACAGCAGACTAGTACCTTGTATCCTCTTAGTTTACTGTTAAAAAAATCTAAATAATGTACTACCCTCAAAAAAAGAAACAATGAAAAGGATGAGCAAAAGAAAGAACAAGGAGGAGGAGGAGAAGAAGGAGAAGAAGAATTTTAGTGAATGAAGAACAACAATGAGATCATTAAAGCTTACTGTTGAACTGTGGAGGTCATTTGGTAGCTTGAGGGCCGTCAGCATTACCTGATGTTCCAAGTCATTGACATGCTGGAATTACAAATGTACATGGGCCTTTTGTAATAAGTGAACACCTGTCTAGTCACTGATGATAGAAATAATGGGTTAACTCTATGTGTTGGATTCACAGCATTATTTTCATGGGCGGTGGGGGGGGGGGGGAATAACTCCACTACCCCTTAAGAAGCAAATAATAAAATGGTTTGCTGAAATCTGACATAATTAAACTGCTACTGCACCATCAGAACCGGAACTTTTCACCGGCTGCTGAACATGAGGATGGACCACTTAGGGGAATGCTCCGATGTCAGTTCCTACCTCAACATTCAACTTTTCCAGATAATTTTATTGAAAATAGTCATTGCCTTTCTAAACAGCAAGGTGCTCTTATGCAGTAAATCACTCTCCTTAAACATTAGCAAACGAGTACTGAAATGTTTCATAGAGTCTGTTATGTTGTATGGTAGTGAATCTTTAAATTTGAGCAAATCGTTTAAGAAGAGTCTGGAGGCAACCGAGATGTGGTTCTTGAGAAGAATGTTGTGAATACCTTGGACTGCCAGAATAACTAACAATGATTGCCTGGAAATGCTAATGAAGGTAGAACATTATATACAACAATCAGAAGAAGAAAAACACAAATTCTTTGGTCATGAGATGAGAAAAGAAGCAATGGAAAATATGACAACTGGAAAGATCCCTGGTTGAAGAGGCAGAGGCAGACCAAGAGAAACTATGGTGGATGGCTTAAAACAGTGGCCTGGAGGAATACCATCAGTAGAACTGATTCAGAACACCAAAGACCAAGATCTGTGGAGATGCATGAACAAATATGCCAGCTGGCAAGGCACTTGATGATGAAGAAGGCACTCCAACAGTTGTCAAAACCATTGCAAATCAGTCTGGCAATTGCCTGCAACTGAATTCAAACCCTAGTATGTCAGGATTATGAAACTACATGCACAACCTCTTAGCTACCCTAGAGATGCACTGGTCAGGGAAGAAAACACGCCTCTCCTGGCAATAGATGCAGGCCACTGTCCTGACAGGAAAGCCGCTTTAGTGTAATGGGCAGATGCTTGACTGCCAGCCCCGAGGTCTTTGGTTTGATTCTTTTGAAATTTAACCTTGTCTCGAACCAGCCGACAATGGGTACCAGGCATTAAATATCCTGCGAAGTAAACATGACTGATAGGTCTATAAAAAATAACAGCATATTATGCCCAATGCTCCACTGGTGTGAACAGGTTTTTTTTAAAGACTGTCCTAGCAGGCAGGCGTAAAAAAAATCATTATGCCAGTACAACTATGCATTCTGTAGTCAAACACATTCACTTCCTTCAACCGCTGTGTTCCACGAAGAAGCAAATATGTGATGGAACCTGGCTACTCAGGTACCTTAAGTCCCCCCCCCACCTCTTTCCCCAAGAAAAATTTGTGGTTAAGTTACTTCTACATCCATGTACAGAGGTTCTATTTTTTTAAGTATTTTTATATATTAACATTATTTCAGATCTATTATTAAATTTATTTGCCATTCAGTATGTTGTTGTAGTTGTTTTTGTCATTGTTCTTCTTCTTTTTCAGCATTCCAAATCCCTGAGGTTCATTGCTCCAAACATCACTTGCCTCCATACATCTCTTTGGTTGCCCTTCTCTTTTTAGCTGTTGACACCAAGTGTTTGCAGGTTTGTACATTATCTCTCCATCGTCTTCTTGGTCTGCCTCGTGGTCTACGACCATTCATCTACCTTGTGTAAACAGTTTTCACTTCTGTTTTCTCTTATGAAGTTTTACGAAGGTGAGGGTGTCAGCCCCATGCGTCAACCCCAGCTGAATACTGTTCCTTTGTGTCTGTGCCCCAACTGAATACTCTTCCTTTGTGGCTGTGCCCCAGCTGAATACTCTTTCTTTGTGTCTGAGCCCCAACTAAATATTCTTCCTTTGTGTCTGTGCCAGAGCTGAAAACTCTTCCTTTGTGGCTGTGCCCCAGCTGAATACTTCTTTGTGTCTGAGCCCCAACTAAATATTCTTCTTCTGTGGCTGTGCCCTAGCTGAATACTCTTCCTTTGTGTCTGTGCCCCAGCTGAATACTTCTTTGTGTCTGAGCCCCAACTAAATATTCTTCCTCTGTGGCTGTGCCCTAGCTGAATACTCTTCCTTTGTGTCTGTGCCCCAGCTGAATACTCTTTCTTTGTGTCTGTGCCCCAGCTGAATACTCTTTCTTTGTGTCTGTGCCCCAGCTGAATACTCTTTCTTTGTGTCTGTGCCCCAGCTGAATACTCTTTCTTTGTGGCTGTGCCCCAGCTGAATACTCTTCCTTTGTGTCTGTGCCCCAGCTGAATACTCTTCCTTTGTGCCTGTGCCCCAGCTGAATACTCTTCCTTTTTGTCTGTGCCCCAACAGAATACAATGTGGAAGAGCAAAATCAGCATCACAGTTAAGGTCAATATTTACAAATCATTGGACCTGTCTTAAACTGATGTGAGAGTTGGACTCTCAATGTGGAAATGGAAAGGATGATTCACGCTTTTGAATGTAAATGCTAGAGATCAATTAAGAATTATGAATTACAAATTAGATATTTAAAACCCAAAACTAATAAATATGTCAGAGACAAAATATACAAATATGCAGGACATCAGGAGCCTCTCTTAGCAGTGGTGAAACGCTGCAAGCTAGCTTGATTTGGGCACGTGGTGAGACATGATTCCATTGCAAAGAATGTGCTTCAAGTAACATTGGGGGGTAGTCGAAGAAGAGGAGGGCAAAGACGAAACTTAAATGATATCAAGAAATGGATAGAACTAAGTTATCATACACTGATTCATCAAGCCGAAGACAGAGAAGGATGGAGGGTTTTATATGCTAGTACTTCCATCAACACACCTCCACGAAAAAAAGGTCAAGGGTTATGTAATGTTATGTGCCCCTGGCTATCCTTATGACCTGCCGAAAAAGATTCTCTGCATTTTGTTACCTTCTCTTGCCTCATATCATATAATCAGACTATAACTGCCAACACTGGTACTGGGGTTCTGTGCTAGCTGCTGAAGACAGGGCCGGAATAGGTAAAAGAAAGGTCTTTTTTTATGCCTTTGGTGGATCTGCATGATTTTATAGTTAATCAAACAACCATCCTCACTGCACAAGTCCATACGAACTCGGATCCTATCGTCAATATGTCTTTCAGTGTGTGGTAACTGTTAACAATGTTGGCTATTGTTTCTTCTTTGCAGCAAGCTGCTCCATTTGTTTATTTCCTTTATTAATCCAGAGTGTCCAGCATTATGTTTTTATAGACCACTTAGCGCTCAATGGGTGATGTGGTTAAAAAAAAAACAACACATCCATCTTTACTTCCTAGGGCAGTATTTCCCAAACGGCGCCCTGGGAAGCCTCGATCTCCTCACAAGGGTACCGCAAAATATTTGAAGATACACAAGTTTTTTTTTTAAAATCTCTTACAAATGAATAGTCATACTTTTACTTAGGTTAGGGCGCCGTGGAAAAATTGTAATTGAAAAATGGCTCTGCGACTAAGAAAATACTGTCCTATGGCACTCAAAGGTACCAATTTGAGGCTGGGTTAAGCTGGGAGCTAAAGTCAATTTTAGAAAACATTCGCCATGATGCAGACTTAAACCCCCGACCTTTCGGATGGCAGGCAAGCATTTAGCCGCTAAACTATAATGATAGGGGTGAGTGTTAATGAAAAACCCTGTTCGCTGTGTTGTTTCCTAACTCAACTCAACTCTTCTCTCATGCAAGGTGTTATATTGTTACAACTTTTGTCTCATGCAAGTTGTTACAACTCAACTCTTGTCTCCTGCAAGTTGTTACAACTCTACTCTTGTCTCCTGCAAGTAGTTACAGTCAACTCTTATCTCCTGCAAGTGGTTACAACTCATCTCTTCTTTGACCATGCAGGTTGTTACAACTCAACTCTTGTCTCATGTGAGTTGTTACAACTCAACTCTTTTCTCATGGAAACTGTTGCAGCTCAACTTTTGTCTCCTGCAAGATGTTACAACTCTTTTCTCATGCAAGTTGTTACAACTCAACTCTTTTCTTATGCAAATTGATAAAGCTCAACTCCTGTCTCGTGCGAATTGTTTCAACTCAACTCTTGTCTTCTGCAAGTTGTTACAACTCAACTCTAGCCTTATGCAAGTTGTTACAACATAACTCTTGTCTTATGCACTTTATTACACCTCAACTCTTGTCTCCAGCAAGTTGTTACAACTCAACTCTTGTCTCCTGCAAGTTGTTACAACTCATCTCTTCTTTGACCATGCAGGTTGTTACAACTCAACTCATGTCTCCTGTAAGTTGTTACAACTCAACTCTTGTCTTTTGAACTTTGTTACAACTCAACTCTTGTCTCATGCGAATTGTTACAAATCAACTCTTGTCTCCTGCAAATTGTTACAACTCATCTTTTCTTTGACCATGCAGGTTGTTACAACTCAACTCTTGTCTCATGTGAAGTTGTTACAACTCAACTCTTGTCTCGTGCGAATTGTTTCAACTCAACTCTTGTCTCCTGCAAGTTGTTACAACTCAACTCTAGCCTTATGCAAGTTGTTACAACATAACTCTTGTCTTATGCACTTTGTTACACCTTAACTCTTGTTTCCAGCAAATTTTTACAACCTAACTCTTGTCTCCTGCAAGTTGTTACAACTCATCTCTTCTTTGACCATGCAGGTTGTTAACAACTCAACTCATGTCTCCTGTAAGTTGTTACAACTCAACTCTTGTCTCATGTGAGTTATTACATTGTTACAACTCAACTCTTGTCTGATGCAAGTTGTTACAACTCAGCTCTTGTTTCATGGAATTGTTACAACTCAACTCCTTGTTTTCTGTACATTTTTAAAGCAGTCAGATAATGTAACTTATGAAAACAATTCAGTACTTATTTACCTTTATTTCAGCTATTTCTGTCTTTATTTTGCTAATTTCCTCTTGCAATTTCTTTACTTTCTCATCATCTGATGGGTTCTGCAATAAAGTCTAATATGATGCATTATCTAGCAAAGTATTATCATCTGATGTGATCTGTAAAAGTCTGATCATCTTATAAAATATGTAACAAAGTTACACATCTTATGCATTCTCTAACAAAGTGTAATCATCTCATATTATCTGTAGCAAAGTCTTATCATCTGATATGTTAGAATGTGCGATGACTTTCTTTTATCTTCTATCTGGCTCGCATCATCGCACGCTGGCCATCTCACATACCGACATCACACGACGTGCAGAAAATGGACGACTGGAAATGCAACACGATACTGTTCAGCACTTTAATCTTCTACTCGCGGCTTACACAGCCGGCACATGAAAATAGACTACTGTCCAGGCACACATTATAACTCAATATCAAAAGTATCTATTACCTTCTGTTCGAAATCACAATCGTCCTCACTATCATAATGAACAAAAACACAACACTGTCCCTGACAGAAAAACTAACTCGGCCCGCAGACATCTTGCCTGCCAGCTTTTTTGCCAAGTTGGACTGGACAAATTCACTCAACACATTAATCCACATCTTCCATCGTTGTCCATGCACTCTGTTCTGGGCCCAACGAGAAGCCCTTTCTACGGTATAGCCTTCTAATGCCCCGCTTAGTTTTTCATTCTCCGTGATTCATCTACTTCGCATGAAGTTCAACAGTCAACGTTTCTATTCACGTGAATAATTATGCTTCACACAAAGTTTGACTATCAGCCTTTTTCTTAACTCCCGTGAAGTTCAGACTCAACAATTACCGTGCCGTCCCAGTTAGAGTCAAAATATTCCACTCACATTTATTACTGACGTCATCTGTCGGGCATAAATTAACTGGGAGAAAATGAGATTCACTACAGAATGTGATCTGTAAAAGTCTTATCATCTGATATGTACTGTAACAAAATTTTAAAATATGTTGTGTTTTGTAACAGTCTACAATATTTTTTTTTTTGGCATTCACCGGCTGTAAACTCCGGGGGAAAGTTTTGGTTGTTTGTCCACTTCTGGACTGCAGTCCTGTTCCAGAACCTGAGTGTTGAGTGAGCATCCGTTTGACAGATCTGTATGCAGACTGTTGGTTCCTTGCCTCTCAGGCACTCCGACTTAGAAGGAAGCTCCCAATTAGTCGACTCTTACGACATGCTTTTGGGTAGGCAGTGGGTCTATTCTTGTTTTTCCCATAGTAGGGCCCCGGAACCCACAGGGGGATCTTATAATAATATTCTGCAACAAAGTCTCAACATCTACACATTCTCAAAGTCTTATCATCTCATATGATGTGTAACAAAGTCTTATCATCTCATATGATGTGGAACTACGTCTTTTCATTACATGTGAAACAAACAAAATCTTAGCATCTCATATGATGTGTAACAAAGTCTTATCATCTCATATGATGTGTAACAAAGTCTTATCATCTCATATGATGTGTAACTAAGTATGATCATCTGATATGATGTGTAACAAAGTCTTAATATCTTATGTGCTCCGTAAATAAGTCTTAATATCTTATTTGTTCTGTAAAAAAGTCTTATCATCTGAAGGAGAAGAAGTAAGAAACAATTTGTCATCTCTTCAACAGAGATTGGCTAACAAGTATCCACTGCTAACTATAGGTATATTACATAGTGAGGTCCCTATATCTTCCACGGTGAGACTCTCAAACAACTTCTAAACCATCCACTGCAGGAATCGAACTCTGGTAAACATCGAGGATTGCAGTGTAAACGTGTAATAACCAACAGTCTGATCATCTGACACATAGATTTCAAGTTCAAAATGGAGGACTAGGCATGGCAGAATGTTTGGCTTTAAAGCTGTTTTTACTTTTGATAGTGCTTTGCTAACAAAGTTTCCACATATAGATGGAAGTCTATGGTTCTGCTGCCTAAGCTGCTAAGTGCTTGGTTTTTAACTGTGAGCTGTGTTGTTTCATGTGGAATATGTTTTATTTGTGCAGCAGCTGATTCATGGTATTCAGTATGGCTGGTAGCTGTTTTTTATGTGGTGCTAATAAAATACCTTACATAATTGTTTTACGTGTGTACAGCCAACTTATCATTCATGACCGATTACTTCCATCAATGACAAACTGCATTTCTGGTGACTTTGGTGCCTCAGAATTTTAAAAAAAAAACAGTCGCTACTGTCTTTCACCTTTTTTAGGGCAGTGTAGACATGGGGTCGGGAGCCTGAAGGATTCTGGGCCACATGGCTAGTACTGTTGCCAAGGACTTAGCAGGTTAGTGTGTTTAATTTGTCCCCAACAGAAAAACTCCAAGGGGTTGAACTGGTGTCTCCCGCATGAGAGCCTGGCATTGTAACCACTCAACCAGCCGCTCCTCTTCTGGATTGTGCTGGGACAAATTGTTTGTTTACCAGTTTTTCAAAGAGGACAGTGAGGGACATTTCATTGATTTTCACTGTCACATGAATGTTCATGCATGGGATCATCCCACTGCAGTGAAACTGCTACCTCGACTATGACTTTGAATGTATGTGTTCTGTAAAAATTCTTATCATTTGTTGTGTTCTCTAACATATTCTTATCATTCGATATGACTGTAACAAATTCTTATCATCTCATGAGTTCTCTAACACATTTTTATCAACTTGTGTGTTCTTTAACACATTTTTTTTCTTATATGTTCTGTAAAGAAGTCAACAATGTGTTTGTATGTATTATACATTTAATAATTTTAGGACAACATTTACCTCCTCTTGTACGAGTTTTAATTCTTCCTGCAAGCTCTCTCTCTTGGCATTAAATTCATGCTTCTTTTTCAGATAAACACACATTTCTCTGTAACCCTTTACCTAAACAGATAAATGTTAAAATGGTAAGATGCAGTAAAAGGGAGATTTCATAAGAACAATTTATGAACACACAGCTTCAATGATTTTAATCATCATCGCCAAAAGCTACATAAGCATCGGAGGGTGTGGGAGGAATAATTTGCAGTCCGGTGTACGCAGGCAGACACTGGCTACTGTCATGCCGTAAAGTGTCTTTAATGTTGTCAGTCAATTTTTTCCGTGGTCATGTTCTTACTCTTGTAGCCAATCTTCCGAGATGTATTGACTGTGTTGGTATCTGATGCTGCCTTCTAACGAGATGGCCAAACCATTTATCTGCTGTTTTTTTAAAAATAAATACAAGGTGATATATTTTACAATCTGCCTGATGGTATCATTATTCTCTCATTCTCGGATGGTCATCATCTTTGTCATCATCAACTGTAAGCTCCATCTGAAAGTATGTGGTTATTACTCCATTTGGACTTTGTGTCAAGGCCTGAGTTTTGCATGTACATCCTTTTACTTACTTATTTGTGTGCAGCTGGCTGTTCCTTGCCAGATATACTGTGACTTTAAAGGATGCCCCCAATCAATCGACTCCTGCGACATGTTTGTTGGGGAGGAAGTGAGTCTATTTTTGCTTTCCCCACAGTAGGGCCCGATCTCGGATGGTTAGGGTTATGGTTTGTCTCAGTCACCTCACTGAGAAACTGACTTTTCTACCTCTTGCTAAGATTGATTTTTTTTAAAAGTACTAATAATAGCAGCGGGGAGAGCTGTAGACTGCAAGACCATTTAAACAGACCTAAGTTCAACACGCAGAAGATATAACATGAAAATAAATACTACTAAAACTGAAGCAATGCAGGTCAGCAGAATTCCTAGTGCGTGACATAAAAGGTTGAACGGTACTTGTCTGAAGCAAGAATTTAAATATCTAGGAAGTATATTCTCAGAAAGAAAGAATAGATTGGGAAATCAGAAACAAGATGCCAACGAGCCAGGGCACTTATGTACTAATTGACACCCTTATTAAGACATCCAAACATAAGTATGAGCGCCAAGAAACAGATTATAAACAGTATATACATACAAACACCGTGCTACCAGTGCCAGACTTGGACATTATCAAAGGCTAACCTACATAAAATTAACACCTGCGAAGTGAGATGCCTGATAAAAGCCGCCAACAACCATCCGAGACAAACTTAGAAATGATATTATCAGACAGACTGTAGGCACAACACCATGCAGTGAATTCTCTGAGAAACAGAAGATGAAATGGTTTAATCATTTAGTAAGAATGCAGCCAGAACAACTACCAATACAGTCGCTACATAGGAAAAAAATCTAAAGTGAAATCAAGAGGCTAACCTAGGAGAATATGGACTGATGACATTAAAGGGCTTCTACATCAAAACTGAATGATGGTAGCCATTGTAATAGTAGCACACTGTTCCTCCCACGATGTTTAATGGCAGAAGTGGAAATTGATGATGAAGATGAAGAATAGCAGCAAAAGTAGTAGCTAAGTAGCAGTCTTCTGTTAAAGATGATACTATACAGTCACATACCAGTTCATCAAGATCTAGTTGTATTCCTCTCAGCTTTAGTTCTGCCTTCAGTTTCTCCAGTGGTTCTCCAGATAAACGGCGGTCAAGATCCAGTTCCAGATTCACTTGTGCTCCATAAGCCCCTGCAACAGAACGGTTGACAAACAACCAGGAAGGTGGCTGGTTCTCAAACAATGCCTGACCTTTGACACTTGATACTTGCCTTAATACGCGAGCTCTGTGAAAAGTACGTGTTGTTTTCCCGAGTGCAAGTAGATAGTCAATGACGGAACGGGCCTCACATTTTCTGGTTAATAATAATGTCAGTTTTGTTATTCTTTTGGAGAAGAGCTGAATCCCTTGCATGTTTGTTTATTCGCAAATTTATTTTGCTGGTAACCAGTGAACATCTGATTGCAAATTTGTCTATGATGTTCGGTGAAATCGATAACTTTAAACGGAGACAGATTTTATTATATCATTTTTTTTTTAAAAATATAATTGTGGTGAATAATATTAATAATATAACATTAATAAACTGCTTCTGTTCGCTGTTGCCACAGTATGTCCTCTTTTATTTACAGGAGGCTGACATATTGAATATACAAAATACTTAACCCTAAAATTTGCAAACGAAACAAATTATTATGATTCCATTGCAATAAATGTATAATTTAAAAACATTTCCATTTCGCATATTAATTTGAAGAATTGTTTTAAACTGTTTTGAGAGTTGTATAACTATTCCATATACAATATAGTAAGTTAAAAAAAAAGTAAATGTCCCTTTTCCACGCCTTTAGGCGTATAGGGCATAGAGGGCAAGACATATATTTAATAGACCATTCGGCACAAGATGGGAGATGTGGTCAACATCACGCCGGCCGCCTTTACTTCTCGGGACTACACCCGGGACCGACTCAAGGCTGGGTCGAACTGGGAGTCAAGGTCATTTTTTAAATAAGTCTGGGGAGCAAATTCATCGACCTTCCGATCCGCACGCGAGCGTCTAGCCGCTACGCCACAGCGACTCCAATAAAATATAGTATCCGCTGAATACCTGAACATCTCCTGGATGCTGTTCGACAGACGTCAAAAGGAGGATGGCTATAGCAGTACAAGGCTTAAAAATAGTTAAAAATACCCCTGTGTGGATTCCGGGGCCCCATTGTGGGGAAAACAAGAATAGAGCCACTGCCTCCCCAAAAGCATGTTGTAAGAGTCAACTAATTGGGGAGCTTCCTTTGAAGACGGAGTGCGTCTGCCGGAGAGGCAAGGAACCAACAGTCTGTATTCAAGAGAATGAGATCTGTAAAACTGATGCACACGCAACACTCAGGTTCTGGAGCAGGACTGCAGTTCAGTAGTAGACGAGCAACCAGAACCTTCCGCCAGAGTTTACAGCTGGTGAACGCGAAGAAGAAGAAGAAGTTAAAAGTTTATGGTTACTCGCCAGCAAGGAAATCAAGGTTACACTTTTGAGAGTATGCATCTTCCTTGTAGCCACACACGGATGAAAGTCGTGAATATCTCCCCGTAATTGAGAAAGAAAATAAGGGCTTTTGAGCGGAAAAGCTATAGAAAGATTATCAGAATACCATGGGGGAAAAAAAGAGAAGAAATAGGTCTAATAATATTTTTAAAGATCTGAACATCAAAGAGGATTGGCTAATAAACAGCATCTTATCTCGGAAGCTGAAATATTTTGGTCACATCAAGTCGGACTGGGGAAAAAAAGCAGAACGCATGATGCTAGGAAGGAGGCACAGGAGCTTACCAACATGAAGATAGGCGCAGAATATAAGTGACTCCTTGAATATGATTAGGCTTTGGTTTATGCAATTTGAAAGTATACTAGGAGAAAGGGCTGACGAGAAACCGAGTTTCTTTCAGGCAGCGTGATGAGAGAGACGTTCTGCGAAGGAAGTGCTACACGATGATGATGATCCATCTAGACAGAGTTTTACGAAAGCTTTGCACTAATCACTACATCTACAAACACTAATTACTACAATGACTTCACATTTTATGCAACTAAACCCTCAGTATGAATGGGGTGATGATTGTGGTGGTTTTATACATTTTAGGTTAGTTGCGTATCCTTTACATGACGTTGCAGAACCAACCCTAACAGCCCCTGGCTGTTGTGTGGTTTTTCTAGGCGAATTTACGTCCAGTAGTTGGTTTTATACATACCTGCCTCAAATTTCGTTGACAGGCAAAATGAGCTAGCTGGGCCACGAAGATGACAAGGTGGGGTGGGGGGGGGGGAGATGCTCAGCCCCCTTATAATTGTCTAGGGTGGGGTTGTTTTAGGGGGGGGGGCAAAGCCTTGTTTAAATGCATTATAATAATATTATTAGACCCATACATGGTAGGAGGGGTAGGGTGCTCTGTTACTCAAGAAAATATAGTGAAAAAAGGAGTGGGTGGGGTGGCTCAGGGTGGATGTGTCCACCCCTCCTTGGTTCTAGCTCCTGTGAATCTATGAATAATTACGAGATTTTAAATTGTTCTCTTTACACCAAGCCAACTTTTTGATGTAACGCAGAAGTATAGTTGCCACACAGGGTTTTCAACTTTCCAGAATTTTGACAAGTGTTTGTGCTTAATTATTTGTTTTTCTATTCGTTAATTATATGTTCTATATTTTTATCAGGTTAAATATTTCTCCGAGAAGTTACTTGTTGAGAATATCTCATTAGTTGATCATAATGTAGCCACTGAGCGAAGTAATAGGTGGCGAATGAAGGACAGGGCACCTCACCTCTGCAAGCTGGACGACAGAGCGAGCTTGGGAACGGACTACAAGGTTCCCGGTTACAACCTGCAGGGTAATGTCGTATATTCATCAGACTCTTGTGCCGTTAAAAGTAGCATACAGCTCTCAGTCGAGTCCTCTGTTCCAGTTTATCCTGTGTAATCCATTCGATATCATGAAAATAATTCAGTGGGGTGCAAGGAAGTTTCTGGGGCATACTCACCTATGGGATGCAAGAAAGTTGGGGGGGGGGGGGGGGGGGGGGGGGGGGGGGGGGAACCACCTGTAGAATGTAAGGAATTTTAGTTTCGACATTGGTACCTAGAGCTGACCATTCAGAAAGCAGTGGCAAACTTCTGAACGTAAGAAAAACCAAAACAGCCAAAAAATGCTGGGGTTGGTTCTGCAACGTCCTGTAAAGGATTTGTAACTAACTTACTTTACATGGTACCATTTTTAGGTTGGGTTGAGCTGTGAACCAAGGTCATTTGTAATTAAAAATCTACCTCAGTCGCAGATTCCAACCTAAGACCTCCAAGCAGGGCTGGCTTTAGGTATAAACTAAGTAAGCTACAGTTAGGGCCTCACAGTCTGCAGGGGCCTTAAGAAATGTTTTTACAAAAGCAGTTTTAAAGAAAAAAAAATTTTAAGTTATATTTGCTTGCTTGCTTGTTGTACCCCACCAGGACATCACACAAGCGATAAACACCCTGTGACACAAAGCTCCACCATGCGGATGAGGATCACTCATGGAAAGGTCCCAGAAACCCCTTTCAGCTATTTTGGCCACATTTGTGGGCCAGCTATATTCAGGGCCCCCAGCAAAAGCCAGGGTGGGGCTTCAAATAACAAAAAATTGCATCCCACAAGGGGATGAACATCTATATATGTATAAAAATCAATGTTTGTGTGTTTGTTTCACCCCTATAGACTCGGAAACTACTGAACCGATTTAGCTGAAATTTTCAGGATATGTTTGTTGTGATACCGGATTTTGAACTGTCGTGGTTTGAAATTCAACCTGTCACTGTTAGAGATAGGTGACCACAATTTATGCCAAAATATACGCAACTAATATTTATAACTTTAGTGATTTCTAATTATAGCCACGTTAGTAATAGCGCATGCGCCGTATTTACCATTCGCCGGCGAGTTACGTGCAGCCAACGCCTTCTCTAATACTAATACATAGAGTAGGTCTAGGTACAGCAAACAAGACTATCTCTATATTTGCCACAATAACCATATTAAACACGATTTCTATTTTTTTTTTTTTTTCAAACACCTTCGATTGGGGGGGGGGGGGGGGGGGGGGGGGAATCAAGGACTATCTCGACGTCGGCGCAGACAGTGACTGCGACATTAACTTCATTAACCGTGTTAGACACGTGCGATTTCTATTTCATTAATATATCTGGAGTATCTGTCTACGAGAAAACAGTTGCCTGCGGTTTTGAATTGTGTTTAAATCGCGACACAGTAGTATGGACTCACATGTCTAATAGTTGAGTTCTCTTTTCGTTGTTCCGATAAAGTGGCTGCTTGGTCGAATGGTTAGAACACTGGGTTCATGTGCGGTAGACCTGGGTTCGAATCCGCAGTCGTTAAATTTTTTTTTTGCCCCGGACTAAAATAATATCCTCATCTGCTCTGCCGTGGTGACAGCACTAGCCATGTTGCCTTAATATTTAAAAAAAAAAAAAAACAAGTAAATGGGTAAACCATTTGATAATTAAATTTGACCATTTCGCATACTTATGATTGCATTGTTAAACTTTCCGATTGCATGGTTACGCTGAAATTTTATAGATTTTCATTTATTTTCATTTAGATTTAGTTATTTCATCTGTGTTGGAATTTTAAGCTGTGCTGTTTACAATGGCGTTCATTTCCTAATTATGGTGTTTTTTTTCCTGTGTTCGTTTGCTTTTCAAGTGTTTTTTTTTTCTTTCTCCCAACTACTTCAATGAGGGAAAGAGTTGTCGGTGAATTTGGGGGGAATGGGGGGGGGGGGGGGGGGCAAAACTATTAACTGAGAGAGCTTTAAGTCACAGTAACTGCTTTACCCACTTAAAGTAGCAGCAGCAGTAATAGTTGTTACACCAGGGCTGTTACACCATAGTGCTCTCATGTGAAGACCGCCGGTAAGGTTATGGCGTTCTTCTGTCGGCAAGTGAAATTATACATCCTAACCTGACCAGTCTGTGGCGACAGCACTAGCCATGCGCGAAACAAATCTTCTGGCTCACGACTCTCTGTCTACTCCGATGGTAACACAGATAGCAGTGACATTATTTTAGTAGTTGTACTGGTATTTGAAGGATGATGTGGTAAATATTACACTAGCCCTATTCACTACCTTTTGCAATTCCTGCTCCCTATTTTAGTCCAGATGGACAGGGATGTCAATGTCAGTTACAGCAACAACAAAATATCGCCAGTTAGTGATTTTCAAATCCTTCGAAGAGGGAGAGAGCAGTAGTCGGTGGAAGAGGGGAGGGGGTAATGACTTAAATTTAAGAGAAATTAAAGAGCTTTACACTTGATTTTCAAGTTCTCATTGCCTAATTTGTTTATATTTTACTAACGCTAACTCCGCTTTTCTATTTTTTACGACTTACTTTGTTATTCACAAGTACAGTTGTAGCTTTACTTCCGTCCCCTATAAAAATACAAACAGCTTTAGCATGTGATAACCAAATAACCATTTTTGTTACTGTGCTAATAACACCATTTAAACGACCACTAATATAAAGACACAATTATAAGGTGCGTGTTCTAAAGTTGGAAAACCAGACTATCGCTATATCCGTGCAGAGAATGATTGCGACATTACCTGTATTAGACACGTGCGATTTCCATTGTCTTTCTTTTCCAAAAACCTTTGATGAGGGAGATAGTAGTAGGTGGATTTAGTTGTGGTGGTGGGCGGGGATCAAAGACTATCTCTGTATCTGAGCAGACAATGATTGTATTAGACCTGTGCGTTTTCTATTTTCTTTCATTTCCATTTAGCCAAACTATGCCACAGCAACGCGTGGCCGGGTACAGCTAGTAAACAATATAAATTAGTTATAATTTAGAGGATTATGTAACATAATTTTTGTGATTTTGAGAACACATTCTTTGTGTCATAAAAATTAAACAACAGTTTATTTCCACTTGTCCTCGGAAAGTAAAGACAGCCGGCGTAATGCTGACCACATTACCCACAGTGCTGATGGTCTGTAAAAATATGGGACGCTCTGCCCATATGCCCGATGCGCCGAAAGGCGTGAAAAGGGATCTTTACTTTTTTTTTTACTTTAACTTATTTCCACTATCCATGTATTTAAAAGACATATTTTTAAGTTGTATGAGATATGCTGGTGTAATTTAAGATGATAGGGGCCTCAGAGCTTTATATATCTTAGGGCCTCATCAAATCTAAATCTGGCCCTGCCTGCAGACAAGCATCTAGCCGTTAGGCCACTGCATCTGCCATCTTGTCTAAAGGGAAGAACTAAAGCCAGTTTCATAATAAAACAATATTGTTACTTCTAATAGGTTTGGAAGAGAAACTTGTAAGTCATCAAGCGAGACACAATGGCAGGTGATACCTCCGAAAGTTTGGCCGCCTTCGTAAAAGCTGACATTGACATGGACAGTGCAAGACAGGATTTATGTTGCTGCTGTCAAAGTTCACACATTTGGGATTACAGTGTGGCTACAGACAGTGCTCCAGCTTTGTTAGAGTGTGGACATTCCATGTGTTTTAACGTGAGTATTGTGTTTTCTTGTTTGGGGTGAAAAAAAACCATATGTTTGGGATCAACCTGTATGTTAGGTTTAGGCCTAACCAAGATTTTGAGCTAAGAGTCTTGTGGTCAACTTTTAAGCCAGGTCAAGTTTTAACTTACACGAGTGCAGAAGAAAATATATCAGTACCTAAAACATCATCATCATCATCATCATGTAGCACGTCCTTTGCAGAACGTTGCTCTCATCACTGTCTGCCTGAAAGAAACTTTGATCTCTCGCCAGCTCTCCCGCCTCGTTCACTTTAATATCTAAGAAGTCAATTATACTCTGCGCTCATGTTTGTATTGGGCAGCCCCTGTCCTTCCTTCCTGGTACCATGGTTTCTGCTATTATTTTTTAGTTTCCCTGTGGCGCTTGATATGACCAAAATATTTTAGCTTCCGAGACAAGATGCTGTTTATTAGCAAATTTTACCTGATGTTCAGATCTTTTAATATGTCAGTATTTCTTCCTTCTTTGTCCGTGGTATTCAGAGAGTCTTTCCATAGGATTTTAGCAGCTCAAAAGCCAATATTTAGTAGCTAAAACAATTTTTTTTAAAATAATTGTCTAGGATAGAAAGAGTTAAATTAATAGACAGGACAGATTTTGTTAGCTGTCCAAACCAGATGAAGCTGAATTAGTAGATGTAGCAGATATTGTTAACAAAGCAACTATGTAGGATTGACGGAGTAAAGATACCTAATTGCTTGTACGATTTGTTAACTTTCTAAAACAGAACAGATTAAATTAAAGGCTAGAGCAGGTTTGTTAACGTTGCTGTCTAGAACAACAGATTAAATTAAAGGCTAGAGCTGGTTTGTTAACGTTGCTGTCTAGAACAGAACAGATTAAATTAAAGGCAGCAATTAACGTTGCTGTCTAGCACACTTGGAGCTAGAGGAGTTGCATTATAGAAGAGAATGGGGTTTCACTATATGATATTTCCAGACAGCACCCGAAACATTGTAGCCAATCTGTATGATGAAGATGGCATAGAATTAGATTAGAAATCAAAGCAATGTTTTCTAGATTAGAAATCAAAGCAATGTTTTCCTATTCTAACTTTGAATAATGAAAACACAAAAAATAGTTTGTACAATTTATTACCTGGGATATTTAGCTGCATCTCTTCAGGTACATACTATAGTAACAATATAGTAACAACGACATAAATATTAGGATAACAACTGTATGAATAAGAATGAGACAAATTAAAAGATAGAAATGATTTTGTTAGGATAATAACTGTCTGAATTAGAATGAGATAGATTAAAAGATAGAAACAATTTTGTTAGGATAACAACTGTCTGAATTAGAATGAGATAAATTAAAATATAGAAATGATTTTGTTAGGATAACTGTCTGAATTAGAATGAGACAAATTAAAAGATAGAAACGATTTTGTTAGGATAACAACTGTCTGAATTAGAATGAGATAAATTAAAAGATAGAAATGATTTTGTTAGGATAACAACTGTCTGAATTAGAATAAGATAAATTAAAAGACAGAAACGATTTTGTTCACATGAGAATAGTCTGTGATAGAAAGAATTAGGTAGTCCTAGCTTGTGATGTTAAGAAATGGCACTTTGTTCTTATGGTGTTTTTCAGTGTGTGAAGACCCAATGGCTGGATGTCGAAACACAAGATGGTACGATCTTTTGTCTGGAGTGTTCCAAAAGGGTGTCCATTCTGCATGTGAACTCAACAGAAAAGGAAGTATGAATGTTAAAATACTGTTGACATTATAACTTAAAGTTGATGACAGCTTGCTGACACAGCTGATGAAAAAAAAAAAAAGATCACAAAGAGAAGACAATGGATACCTAGATGGGTTGGATAAGATAAGAACACTGACATGATCTGTGATTCTGTTGATAGTGTGAAATGATTATTGCTTATGCATATCTATATGCAGAGCTGTCTTAACAGCATTATGGACCCCTGGGCAGCAAACCAGTGTTCTGGGGCCCCCTACAGCCATTGACATCCTTATGCTCATGAGGCCCCTACAACCATTGACATCCTTATGCTCATGAGGCCCCTACAACCATTGACATCCTTATGCTCATGAGGCCCCTACAACCATTGACATCCTTATGCTCATGAGGCCCCTACAACCATTGACATCCTTATGCTCATGAGGCCCCTACAACCATTGACATCCTTATGCTCATGAGGCCCCTACAACCATTGACATCCTTATGCTCATGGGGCCCCTACAACCATTGACATCATTATGCTCATGAGGCCCCTACAACCATTGACATCCTTATGCTCATGAGGCCCCTACAACCATTGACATCCTTATGCTCATGAGGCCCCTACAGCCATTGACATCCTTATGCTCAAGGGGCCCCTACAGCCATTGACATCCTTATGCTCATGAGGCCCCTACAACCATTGACATCCTTATGCTCATGGGGCCCCTACAACCATTGACATCCTTATGCTCATGAGGCCCCTACAACCATTGACATCCATATGCTCATGAGGCCCCTACAACCATTGACATCCTTATGCTCATGGAGCCCCTACAGCCATTGACATCCTTATGCTCATGGGGCCCCTACAACCATTGACATCCTTATGCTCATGAAGCCCCTACAACCATTGACATCCTTATGCTCATGAGGCCCCTACAACAACCATTCACTTGACATGGACAGATAATCATGGGTATTTTATGCTCATTGGGCCCCAGGGTGGGTGCCCTGTAGATATGGCACATGCCAGGTTTATATTAAATTCCAGACTGTAATTAGTATATTGAACCATGCTGTATTGCACTAACAGCGAACCCCCATGTCCCCCCCCCCCCCTTTTCCGCACTGAATTCGGCTCACCAGACAGCCCAGCTTAAAATGGGTACTAGAACATTTTTCTAAGAAGTGATATTTGGTTTAAAAATATGAAGCATATGCTCATTAACCCTACCAGACCGCTGGCCCGGTTTTCCAGGAATTTCTTAACCTGACGCCAGACCGCTGGCCCTAAATTTCGGCTTTTTGCATAGTACAGTGAAAAGATGCGTCACGGACTAAAAATAACCACCCAATCGTTATCAATCCTCTTTGTGAGACATTGCAAATGTCTGCCCGCATGTGTTTGGATTATATTTGTGTTGTTTTATGTGGAAAAATTCTGAAAATTTACAATGAAACGAGCGGTTGATGAACCAAGTTCTAGGGGTTTCACAGTCCAACAGGGGATTGAAACTCTGGTTTATTCAGACTCTGCGGAGTGATAATTTCATAAAGAATATGTTCTTGGAGTGATAATTTCATAAAGAATACGTTCTTGGAGTGATAATTTCATAAAGAATACGTTCTTGAAGTGACAATGTCAGTGAGAGAGCGAATGATGAGGAAAACCTTGAAAATTATAAATCTTGAAATATATCGATAGTGGGAGAAGGGGGTGTGTCCCTCAAACGGCAATATATGGTGTTCACTTTGTGAAACAAAGTTGATCCTGATGATTGGATTCACACACAAAGGTAGAATATTAGCGCTAGATAAAAGGCAAGCCTATTTTCTAAGATGTCTCCAAGTTTCATCATATTCTAACCACTTGTTTGCATGCAACTAAAATTTTTGTATATCATGTTGGTTTTTTCGCGGTAATGCCCAGGAGTTCAGATTATAGGGACAGTTAGGTTCAGGGCCTCAGGTCTGGTAGGGTTTAATTTCATGCACTAAACATTGTTCCTTTACTTAAGATTTGAAGTTTTGAACAGCGGATCAGCATCATGGCACACCGGTGTGACCCATAAGTGCTCCGTTCTTCTAACTCAAGTGTTTGAGTCCGAAGAAGCTCAGCACAGTGCACAGGCTCTGTAGCACCAACAAGGATCCTGAAATACTTGGGTAGATTTTTAACTCCAAAATTTGTCTGGGCAGCGCCGTAAGGCTACTCTTTTTGATTTCCAACGGTCAAGGGATTTTTTTACGTGTGCAACAATGCACACGGGCGTCCGATCTCACTATCCAGAGACCAAGGGGAATTACTAGAAGTCTAAGTCCACGTGAAAAAATCCTAGCCTTTACCAGGGATTGAACCAGGAACCTCTAGCACTCGAGGCAGACACCATGACCCGAGACCACACTGCCTCCTTGTCCTTTACTTAATTCTTATGTAGGGAGTAAGCGATAAATTTGTGCTGTTTAAACAAAGAAGACACAAACAATTTATTGTGTGGCACATATTGTTGCATCTCTTTAGTTGCATATTACAGTAACAGTTGAATAAAATGAAACAAATAAATGATACAAAAAGAATTGACACGCACACACATGAGTGAAAATTTCATCTAAAATCTATATCACCAAAAAACATGAGAATATGAAGCTACTAAACTGAAATAAGAGAATCACACAGAATCATTGAATGCCAGTAAAGAATTGATTTTACTCGAGACATTCTCACTTGTGCATAATTCTTTTATTCGGTTGCTAACAAAGAGTTTTCACACAGGTTTTGTCAGTTTGTCAGTGGCAACCTTACAAAAAAGTTGGTTTCCCCCAGATCTGGAGTCTCATTTTGATCATTCTTTGATGAGTCAGTCTTGCCAGTTGATACTTTATTCTGATGCACTGTTTACTGGATCTGAGAGTCTCAATTACATTCTCTGTGGCAGGTCTGTTCCACAGGCAGCCTGCAGGTCAAATTTGGCCTGCGGAAGCCTGGCAAATGGCTCGCAGATCATGGCCAGTTGTTTTAATTATCTCTCTATGCTGGAGCTCCGGCCTGAGTCATGTGAAGATCCCCACTGTCAAAACGTCGGCCCCTAATAAACTTATTTGAATAGCTCTGATGTGTGGTATCACTGTTTGAGGAGAATGGTGCTGAAAGTAGTGACCAGTGAGTCTGGTCACCGATGCTCAAAACTGAAGGGAAAGGTGATACTGATTTACAATCAGACTGTTACTGGTATCAGGAATTTGAACTCTGGACTTGCTCCTGAAGGTGGGAACAGGTTGTTTATAGGAATCTCCACAGTGATGTGATGTCGATTCTTAATTCACCATTGAACATTCCCATGCTCTGTGATCTCACAACACAAGTGTATGTCATTGGGTCATCGAGTTACTTGTGATGATTTGATCAGATCTTTCCATTTCTGCCTATCACATGACCTGAACTTGATGTTTTTGTATTTGAGTCACGACCAGTGGGCCCCATTTTGGATTCAGTTCTTTCTGGGCTTGCACAGTCTCCTCGTTCCTTCTACCAAGCCTTATGGCACATTGACCTTTTTATGAAGTAGATAACAAACAAGCAGACAATATATTGATCAGCACTCATAGAAAGAAGAAGAGAACTTTTTATAAAGTAGCTCACCATCTAGGAGCGGCACAGCTAGTTTCACAGACATATCACCCACATGATCAATATCAGTATCAACAGTATCATTTTATTTGACTCATACGCCCGGCTCTCTAGCGTAGTAGGTTAAAGCTGTCTTTGCGGTGACCAGGTGATAAACTCCTTGTGGTCTCGGTTCACTCCCGGGGGTAGGCAGAAAAGCCACTTTTCCCCCCAGATTTACGGTACCTGTCATGAAATCAAGGCCGAGGGCTTGCGATATCCATAGTACTGAGCCAAAGGGTTAACAACTCATGGTTTCTGGATATAAAACAAAAATATGATGGACAACACACACATTTGACTAATAACAGCTTTGGAAGCCACTGTAGCATGGTGATCAGATGCTTGCCTACCGGCCAAGAGGTGTTGGTTCACATTCACATTGAGGTGAATTTTATTTAAAACTTGACCTTGGTTTCCAGGTTGATCCACCCTAAAATGAGTACCAGATAAATTTTGTGGGAAGTAAAGGTGGTAGATGTGATATTAGCCACATTAACACCATCTGCTACTTGGTATTTAAAAATATGAGTCTGGCACCGTATAACCAAATTGTTGTCATCATCATCATCATCATGTGCCCTGCCAACTGGTGTAGATGCTCATGCATCTCCACAGATCATGATCCCTGGTTGCCTGGAACAGCTCACTTGATGATATCCCTCCATGCCATCGTTTCATCACATCCAGCATCATCTCTGTTGGTCTGCCTCTACCCCTTTTTCCACTGATCTTTCCAGCTTATCCCAATGTTCTCCAGTGTCTCTCTTCTCATTATGTGGCCAAAGAACAGTGTTTGTCTCTTTCTTATTGTTGTATATAGAGATCTACTTTCAGTAGCTTCTTTCAAGCAATCGTTGTTAGTTACTCTGGCCGTCCAAGGTATTTGTAACATTCCTCTCAGAAACCACATCTCTGTTGCTTCCAAATTCTTCCAAATTTATTCACTAACATTTCAAGATTCGCTGCCATACAGCAAAACAGGCACTATGTAACATTTTCTGACATTAAATGAGAGCGATTTATTGCATAAGATATTTGTCATTTTCTGAAATGCATTCCACAGAATTGTCACTGGTGTCGAAAAGGTCTTTTCTCACTTACTTTACTTGTTTGATAACAGGTTGTTTTTTAATTGTCTATAGGTTTGTGAGGATCAAAGTGTTTCGGAAGAACAACCACTGTCTACTAGAAGTGATGATGGCAGCACTGGTGTTTGGACTTTGGAGCAAAAGGATAGGATCCAACCAGAAGGATGGGTAAATGCAGGAATCTGCGACAACTTTGTCTTGAAGTTAATAACGTCCAATGCCAACTCTTGCTTGCCAGGCAGCGCACTAATCCTGGATAGTACATCGGGTCTGGTCAGTAACTTATTGGAACCTGAAGATGCAGCTCACAGTGCTAGTTCGTTAACACCGATTAAAGAGGAGATCGTTTCTGACAAAACTCTACTTGGATACATAGTGGAGGATTCCATGTCTGAAACTGGCATTAACAATGCAAATGTAAATGATAAAATAGAAGTTCGGGGTCAGACAAATACACTTGCATCTCCTGATCTCAATTTGAAAGCCCTGCTTCAGATGCTAGAAAAAAATTCGTTGCCATCTCTTGGAGCAAGTGTGGAGAGTAATGAAACAAATCATGGTTCTGAATGTATTGCTAGACTAGAGAATGGCTACAAAGAAGCAATTCATAGTCTTGAAAAATCCCACACTGTGTGCAGTAACCATGAACTGGACAGATCTGGACCAGAGAAGCAGCTTTGTGAAGAGATAGGAATTGAGGGCGATTGGTTTCCGATTGGAATCCCACAGAATGAGTCATTTATCTCCAGGAAGGAGAAACTCCCATTGGTGCAGTCTTTACCCTGCACTGTCTACCTTCCAAACTCAGACACTGTTGCATCAGAAGATTGCATCAGCATGAATGGAATGACACCCCAGTGTAGAACCCTCAAGCAGTTGGACAGAATCAGTGGAAATCCTGTTTCACATGTCTGGTACTCACAGGCAGACAGAGACTTCCAAAATAAAAGTAACCCAAGGTCTAGGAGAGGGCGCAAGCGCAAGCCATTGTTAAGACATTACCAGTCAGAGCTTTTCATGAGGCCTTATCTGAAACATGAACATAGTCCACAGCTTCAGTTGGTCAAACTCGTGAGACGGAGGGCACAGGATAGGAAAGACGAAGAGAAGATTGCAGCTAGTGTCAGCCGTGAGGAGAAATTCCTTCATAAACCAGAACTCATTAAAAAACACGCTGAAGATCCAGAACTGGCCTTTATGAAAACGGTGGACATGCCTAGTGGGAAACGAGTTGAAGACATATATGTTGTACCATCAGTCTGGATTAGTAACGAGAAAAAGAATGCTGGAAAACCCAGCTGTGTTAAGGAGCCACTAGATTTTCCAGAATCTGACTTATGCAGTTACTTACCAGGAGAAACAAATCAGAGAGTACCTGTTCAGGTGCCATCCCATGGAAGTCACCCTCGCCTCTCAAACACTTGTCAGCATCCTTGCTGGAGGCAGGGTCAGAGTTCATTCAGCGGCTGTCAGTCAATTCACTGTCATCCAGCTGCAAATTCTTCAAGAAGAAGTTTGCATTCAACATCATTCTCCAACGCTCACACTATCAGGCCTACGCAGAATTTGTATAAAGTAATCAGAGGTCATATTATTACCACTTTAAATGCTCCAAAAATAGAACCTGTACCTTCTTTGAAAGATTTATGTAAAGCCGTGTTAGGGTTAGATGCCGAAATGGCCATTTCTCAGATGAGGGAAAACAAGTATGCATATTTAAGTCAAAATCATATGGCAACACAGCACTCTCTTAATGACCCAAGTGGTGTGTCCAAGGAAATGAGCTTGGAAATAAAAACTCCAAAAGAGTTTCTAGACATGAGGTCTGCATCTCAGCATGTGCCAGAATTACCAGAAATGAGCAGTGAGACTAAACATACAGATAAGAAAAATGCAAAAGATACTAATAATAAAGTTAAGAAACATCCAGAATCTGCTAGTTCTATGAACTCTCCATCCTGTGATGTGAAGAACCCTGGGAAGTTTGACATACGTGACGGAACTGAGCCACTAATGGATAACCAGGAGACATTGCCAGAAAATCCACTGTTTACTGAGGATGCCAAGAAATCGGATGGAATCAAGAGTATTTCCCTGGGTTCCGATTTTTGTAAACACCTACAGGCAACAAAAGTTGCCCAGCAGTTTCACAATCAGTCAGTAATTTATTCTTCTGCAGAAGAGACAGAAAGCTCACAGATTCAAGAGAGCTTTAGATACATGTACCCAACTGTTGGCTTGATTAATGGTACCAAGAGCCGCGGTAGCGATTACATCATTCCCATTACCAGCTGCAAATTGACGGATGTTGCCAAATGTGAACAGCCAACATCAGACTGCCGTCTTTCATTGGATGATGGTGGGCCTAAAAAAATTGGCCTGGGATCATTCAGCTGTCCTCCCTACAGCTTAAATTCTTATCCGGTCATGTGTGATGATTCATTTTCTGATGATGCACTTGAAAGCAGTCTGGTGAACCTTCCAAGCTTGGTTTCCATTACCAAACAGATAAGGAACTTATCATCATTGGAACCACTAAATAAACCTCTAGCAAGCCTAACCACAGCCTTACAACTGCTTTCTAGTGCTGAAAAAACATTGTGTGATTGCAACTTTGTTGTGTACAGGCAAGTGAAATATGATACCAAATCCAAGTTAGGGCACTTAAATTTGTGTATTCGCAAACTGGGAGATGTCATTATTACGCTGGGTGGGACTCTGCAAGAATGGATGAAGGAAACTAGCAACCGCTGCTTTAAAACTATGGGGATTCTTACAGAACTGTACAACTCCAATGTTGTTGCTCTAACTGAGCTGATCACTCCGTACTTCCATTACATCTGTGAGCTAATTGCTTCCTGTCATTCTGAAGTTGGGCCATGGAATAAGCAAGAGCCATCAGATCATGGTACTGCAAAAAGATTAGGGAACCACCTGTCTGTAACACCTGCTGGTTGGTTAGATGCCAATATTGCCAATACGGTGTCATATCGAACTGACAGCCTGGAATCGCATGCCTTTGGAGACAGTCAGCAATCTCTTTCTCCTAAAGGCTTCAAAAGACAAGATTATGATCCTCTGTTACCTTCTAAAGAAGACAGCGAGACATCTCTCTCTGGGCAGGGAAGTGCCAAATCTTCTCCAAGAGCAAAAGGCATCAGTGCAAAGCGGGGGAGGCCACAGGGATTCAAGAACAGCCAGAGAAGAATACAAGTTAACCACCTGAAAAATAAACCTAAGCAGGTACTGAGTCCACTGGGGCCCAGAAGAAATCAGAGCACATATTCAGACTTAAAATGTAGAGGCCCATCTGGTAAGTTGCTTCCAAATAAAATACTCATAAACATGACAATGGACAGTATTTGGGACGAGGGAAGTGCCACAGACATTCACAGGTCTCAAACCATTGCCTCTCATATGGTAGCTGACCACGTTTCTGATGACTCTATGTATGGAAAGGATGATCAGCAAATGGTGGAGGTTACTAGCAGTACCACGGCCTGGGTGTTACCATCTGATACAAAAGACACTTGTCGTGGCTTTCCTGTCCATCTGAGCGTAGCTGGGGAAAATGGGGAAGCCACCTTGTCCTTGCTGGACTCCGAGGTACACAGTGCGATAGGTGGTGAGTATAGCATTTTAATTCAATAATTAGTTAGTTCAGAGATCATTGTTACTTGTTGTCTGTTTTGACATCCTTGCAAATCAGTCCGCCCTGCTCAGTCTCTGTCCTCAAACGCAGCAGCCCCCAAAACATGGAATAATGTTTCGCGGGCCACCAAAACAAGGAACATTGTTTCACGGCCCACCAAAACAGGGGAAAATTATTTCACGGCTCACCAAAACAAGGGAAAATTGTTCCACAGCTCACCAAAACAGGGAAAATTGTTTCATGGCTCACCAAAACAGGGGAAAATGGTTTAACAGCCCACCAAAACAGGAAAAATTGTTTCACGGCTCACCAAAAGAGGACATTTTTTTTTCACGGCCTACCAAAACAGGGAACATTGTTTCACGGCCCACCAAAACAGGGAACATTGTTTCGCGGCTCACCAAAACAGGGGAAAATTGTTTCACGGCTCACCAAAACAGGGAACATTGTTTCACGGCTCACCAAAACAGGGAACATTGTTTCATGGCTCACCAAAACAGAGAACATTGTTTCACGGCTCACCAAAACAGAGAACATTGTTTCACGGCTCACCAAAACAGGGAACATTGTTTCGCGGCTCACCAAAACAGAGAACATTGTTTCACGGCTCACCAAAACAGGGGAAAATTGTTTCACGGCTCACCAAAACAGGGAACATTGTTTCACGGCTCACCAAAACAGAGAACATTGTTTCACGGCTCACCAAAACAGGGAACATTGTTTCGCGGCTCACCAAAACAGGGAACATTGTTTCGCGGCTCACCAAAACAGGGAACATTGTTTCACGGCTCACCAAAACAGGGAACATTGTTTCGCGGCTCACCAAAACAGGGAACATTGTTTCGCGGCTCACCAAAACAGGGAACATTGTTTCACGGCTCACCAAAACAGGGAACATTGTTTCGTGGCTCACCAAAACAGGGGAAAATTGTTTCATGGCTCACCAAAACAGAGAACATTGTTTCACGGCTCACCAAAACAGAGAACATTGTTTCACGGCTCACCAAAACAGGGAAAATTGTTTCATGGCTCACCAAAACAGGGGAAAATGGTTTAACGGCCCACCAAAACAGGGAACAATTGTTTCACGGCTCACCAAAACAGGGAAAATTGTTTCACGGCCTACCTGACAGCTAACCAAACACAGAAACAAACCTTCCCCCCCCCCCCCCCCCCCCCTCCCCAAAAAAAATTGATATAGAAGTTCATTAGTTAAATCTTATCTAACAAAATTAAAAGCACCTTCTGCTTGTCATATACCAGTTGTGTCACGTGTCTTTTCTTCAGGGTTTCCCCTATAGCATACAAAGGCACTCTGAGATAGGGACAATATTGGATGGTGGCTCTCGTTGGTCTAGGCGGAGATCCCGCAGCTCCTAACAAACATCCAGTCTATCTCTTGGGTGGGGCAACTCAAGTTATGGCTCTACAGAATTATTCAGAACTCCTAGGCGCCACTTGGTCTGACACTCCCCACTACTCATTAGCCCCCAGTCTGGATAACATACTTATCCCAGTCATATAACACATCACAATGGACAACACTGGATAACATACTTATCCCAGTCATATAACACATCACAATGGACAACACTGGAAAACATACTTATCCCAGTCATATAACACATCACAATGGACAACACTGGATAACATACTTATCCCAGTCATATAACACATCACAATGGACAACACTGGATAACAACAATCTGACAAACATAATCCCTCTTAATTACTATAACTGGACAAGATATGATAGTACCCTAATGAATTCCGAATAAAGAAAATTTTGTAATTAGTGCAATCAAATTCAAAGAAAGAGAAAGTTTAAAAAGAAAGCAGTTAAATAGTCCTTGCTGATTCAGAAATAGAATGGACTTTATAGGACTCCTGAGGATGCCTTACACCACCTCCTGGTTCATCATTGCAAATGTGTCGTAGAGGCGTAATGTGGCACTCAGTGGTTTGATGAGTTGCTTTGTGGTTTCCTTAAAATTACTTATCTGGAAGAACTGAGACACAGACAATGCATAACTCCAAGTCGACAAAAAGCAGATATTAATTCCACAAGGAATTCACAAGTGGGGGAACCGTTTTCTGGTACTCATCGTGGATGGCAGTGACACTGGCAAGTTATTTGTAATTTCCCCTGGTCTCTGGGTAGTGAGATCAGGACACCCGTGTGTATTGTTGTGCACGTAAAAAATCCCTTGGCAATTGGAAATAAAAAAGAGTAGCCTAACTGCGCTGCCTGGGCAAAATTTGGAGTTAAAAATCGACCCCAAGTATTTCAGGATTCTCACGGCTGCCACTGAGTTCATGCACTGCGCTGAGCTGCTTCAGACTCAGGTTTGAGTTAGAAGTAAAACAGAGCACTTATGGGTTACACCCGTGTGCCATGATGTTGAACTGTTGAATTAAGCAATAAACCAATACAACTCACAGATGGATATTCTTTCTCAAATTATATCCACAACTCAAACAGTGATTACATTTTATTTCTGGACAAAAGAGTGAACTTAGAAGACAACTCGATTGGCTTTTCTTTTTTTATGATGATGAAGAGCACATGATCTCATGTCTTTCAAGAAGGGTTTATAATTACAGATGTTGCCCTTATGAACAACCTGATATAAGAGAAATAATTATTAGAATTAGCAATCATGGAAGATTAAACTACCTACCCATTACATGATTTAATCATCATGTAGGATCAAACAGTTCCCAGAGCTAAGTATATATTATGTATTTTTCACATTATGCACAATAATTTTCGTACATAAATTGAAACTTTATGTTTTATGATTCTTTATTTACTGTTTTTATTTATTTTTCATCGTCGTAAGTCGCATAGGACGTAAGTCGCATAGGTCATGAGCTGCATAAGTCCTGAGTCGCATGGGTTGTGAGTTGCATAGGTTGTAAATGTGGTACACATTATGCCTCCACACCCACTCAAGCTTAGTCTAAATGGAACAAAGTTTAGTAGATAGGGTTCATATGTCTATTGTGTTTTTAAAAAAACACAGCCAGTGATGCAACACAGCCTGGATGATCAAGTCATACGGAATTAAGATTGTTTATTATACAAACACGAAATCAGTTTGAGTATGATGATTATTTAATTTAAACAATAATAGGAATGTTTCAGTGTTAGGTTTCTATGACATTTGCTTCCCCACTAACAGGTTATTCACTGTTATCGAGTGTCAAGCAGTTTTACAAGCTTTACTAGGAAGGTCACAGGTAGTGAGCATACTTTGTATCTTTTTTCAAGGCCATCCTGGCAAAGTGGGTAATGAACAGGCAGACAGATTAGCTGGAACTGCACCACTGGGTGGTGAATTAATACATGAAAAGGCAGATGTGGTCAAGGCCCTTTTTGAACAAGCAACAGAATCAGTAGAGAAACAAGATTATTATGGCCTTGAGAGAATGAGGCACCTGGGTGTAACCAGAGGGTCTGACCGGCTCACTACACTCAGAGGAAAGGCAAGACAGACATATAACCAGATTGTGACCTGTACCATCAGTGTTGGAACTCTGCGCTGGCTGCTAAAGATGAGGACAGAGAACACATGGGAATGCCCCAAGTGCTGTGATGTCAATTCTTGACTCAACTCAACTCACTGTTATTGACTGTTTATAAAGTCTCTTCTGAGACACTGTAGAAAATCTTCTTTTCTCACCAAGCTTACTTTCGGTCATACAGTAAACTGCCATGTTCACAAACTACAGTGCATGTTTTCTGACAAGCCCGCTAAGGGGCCTCCTCCTAACTGTCCCTAATCTCTCTCTCCTTGTTCCCTCCTTTCTCGTTATTTTTTTTATCTCCTGTCATCTCCAAGCATGAGCAGTTTGTCATTACTGACACACTTCAATGTGACATTCTTATCTACCGTAGATTCTCTCGTCTGTTATCTTGGTTTATCTAACGGAAAGATTAATGTCCTGTTCCTGTCTGTATCTAGTGTGACGTTTTCCGACCAGCATTCTAATAAATTTTTCTATCATGCCACCCAGTGATTGATTTGTGTTGATGCTTGTCTCAGTGACTCAGTGCATACATTCTTTAGTGCTTCTCCACATCTTCCTTCATTTCACTATCCTACAATAAGTCGCATAGGTCGTAAGTCACATAGGTCATAAGTCGCATAGGTCGTAAGTCACATAGTTCGTAAGTCGCTTAGGTCGTAAGTTGCATAGATTGTAAGTAGCATAGGTCGTAAGTCGCATAGGTCGTAAGTCACATTGGTCGTAAGTAGCATAGGTCGTAAGTCGCATAGGTTGTAAGTAACATAAGTCGTAAGTAACATAAGTCGTAAGTCGCATAGGTCGTAAGTCGAGGATAAGGAGTACCAAAAAAAAAATAGAAAGTGCCATCTCCACAATGGAGGTTGCCTGTAATGTATCCACTGCCAACTATGAAAATATTACACTGTGAGATCCCAGTCTCTTCCATGGTGAGACTCTTGTACAGCTGTCTGAAATCCACAAGAACAGTCTTTTCCTAAATCTGCTGTCACAGCAATCACACCAGGGTGAGCGTTCGAGGATTTCGTTGTGAAACTGTTTCACTAACCTCCTATCACAGGAATCACACCCTGGTGAGCGTTAAGGATTACATTGTGAAACTGTTTCACTAACCTCCTATCACAGGAATCATACCCTGGTGAGCGTTGAGGATTACATTGTGAAACTGTTTCACTAACCTCCTATCACAGGAATCATACCCTGGTGAGCGTTAAGGATTACATTGTGAAACTGTTTCACTAACCTCCTATCATGGGAATCACACCATGGTGAGCGTCGAAGGATTACATTGTGAAACTGTTTCACTAACCTCTAGGCCACAGATTAGTACGATATATGTATTGTTAAGTGTCTTCCATTGGTGATGACTGCCCAAAACATTCATATGCACACATCATTTCTACAGATCTTGAAGTCAGTAGCATTGAAGAATCAAAAGACTTTAGTACTGAGTCTAGTCCAAGTAAAAAGTTAAAGTATGAGCAGGATGGTAAGTAGAATTTGCAATTAACCATCATTAATTGTAAATTCAAAAGAAAGATCTCTAGTCACTCAGAAGACTTTCACAGGTATTCTTTAAGTGGAGACATGTATACCCTGTGCAGAGTGGCAAGCATCACTTCAGAGGTACTCGAAATGAGCAGGTAGATAGACTGGCCAGCTGTGCATAACTTGGTGGTGAATTGATGTATGGCAAGCTAGATGTTGTGAGGGAGGCAGAAGCACAGATAGATTATTGAGGAGACTGGCGCTGCGAGGAGTTACCTGGAATTCTGGTCGATGCTTAGCACTCAAGGGAGAGGCCAGACGGATATACAATCAGACAGTTACTGGTACAAATCGGAATTGAAACTTTTCGCTTGCTGCTGAAGATGGGGATGGAGTGCTTATGGGAGTGTCCAGCGTGTTTTGATGTCACCTCTTAATTCAACATTCAGAGGTCTTCTCTGTATACATGAGTGCTTCAAAATCAAGCTGAGTTCGGCACCTTACATATTACCTATATGGATCCTTCCAGACCCAAGTTTGAATAGAATACTCAGAACACCCACAGGCAGGCAACTAAATGGTTGTGTTTTGGCAGAGCAGCGCAAGCACTGCTGCTTGTCTCTAAACAACTCCACCTGCCTACTGCCCTTTGAAGGGATCCATTGATCAGTCAGTCTGTCCCCTCTGGGCTGCTACCTAAAGGTTTACTATGCCATCCTGACATAAAACAATTTTAGTCTAGGCAGGGGGTCAACAGGACAGGTCCCCCCGTACTGTTCAGCTTACAAAGAAGTTATCATTTTGGCACCCTGTAATGGCTACACTAGCAGGGTGTACCCTGCGGTTCCATGCAGGTGAAGGTTGGATGTGGATAAAGACCCATTTAGGGGTGGATGCAGAAGAAGTACCTTACATATCACTTTTTTAGCTTGTATATATTTGTTATTACTTCCTGTTAGTATAATATTATTCCTAATATAGTTACTACAGTGAAAAATTATTTGGAACATGTGGGGATGTGGTTTTATAGATGGATGATGAGAATACCCTAGAGAGATAAAAAGAGTAATGAGGATGTCTTAAAGGTACTGACTCACAAAGAGAGCTTATTACCCACATCAGAAAGAGACAATCTAAATTGTTTGGTTATGTCATAAGGAAAAAAAATGGATTATATCATGACAGTATGAAAGTTAGAGGGGAGGAGAGGCAGAGGGAGACCGAGAGATAAGATGCTGGACAGTTTGCCATCATGGCATGGGGGATCATCTGGGTCAGAGTTGATCAAAAGTACACGAGACAGAAGGTTGTGGATAGACATGACGCCACACCGCATGGACTTTAAGAAGAAGAAGTGTTATGTGACACATGGGAATATCTTACCGTTTTGCCATAGAATAACTCTTTCTGTCCCAAACAAAGCACCATGTGAGAGTAGCTACCCACTCTTGTATATCAAGAAATGCACCTTGTGTTACATACAGTATTCTTTTTTGGTATGAACATACTAAAGATATGTGGCGCAGTATATGCCTGTTTGAAAGTTATATATTCATACTCTGTTCATGTTAGTTAACCTCCCTCTAGGACAACTGCAGCAAAATCTTCTGACGCCCAAACAAGTTAACTTACTACATAGGGTTACATTTCACCCCCAGTCAAACTTTCCAGCAGGGATGATACAGGGATTGCATATGACATTTAGCAGAAGAAAATTTGGACAGCACACTTTCAAGAGACTTTTGGCAGACTCAGCCCACGTGCCTAATTTGTAACCCTTTGAAAATTAAGTTTGTTCGTTCGTTCATTGGTTTGTGGGGACTGGGTCTACCAAAAGTCTCTTGGAAGTGTGCTGTCCAACTTCTCTTCAAACACACACAAACACACGTACACAAACTCTTACATTCTCTTACATACACACTCATATACAGACATTTAATACATACTCACATTCACATGTACAAACATCATTCACAACATACATACACTCTCAAACTTACACACAACAATACTAATAAAATCAATTGAGAAAGTGACATTCAAAAGAAACCCTAAGGCAGACATTGATGCGAAAGGCCAAAGGTGCTGGGCTGGATTGCATCCAAAATTAAACAGTTGCACAGAATAGAATGGAATGGACGAATAAACTGCAAGTGTGATGTAGGGAGTCGCCGGCTAGACGCTCATCGCGGATCAGAAGGTGGTGGATTCGCTCTCTGGCGGAGCCGGACTTTAAAAAAAAAATGACCTTGGCTCCCAGGTCGACCCAGCCTTGAGTGGGTACCGGGTGCAGTCCCGGGAAGTACAGGCGGCCGGCGTGATGCTGACCACATCACCCATCTTGTGCCGATTAGTCTTTAAAAATATAGGTCTAGCCCTATATGCCCTATATGCCTTAAGGCGTGGAAAAGGGTCCTTTACTTTATTTTTACCCGTGATGTGTAGCAGCAGGATGAAGATGATGATAAAAAAGCCACACACACACAAAATTAAAAAGAAAAACTAATAAATAGCCAGTATTTGAGAAGGCAAAAGAAAAAGCTCCACATAAATTGAACAGGATATCTGTAATTAAGTTACAATGTTGTTGTTGTTCATCTATCACAAGTGATGAAGATTACTCTTTCTTACATCTGCGATGACACTATAATGAATGAAAGAGTGACTTACATGAGGAATTGGTTTAAAGTGGGGAAGAATTGCGCAGTGTCATCGAACTCACTTTCTCGCCTGGGTTCATCTGTCTGTAGTGGCAGGACAAGCCTGAGTCGGAACGGGCTCTGTAGCACCGGCGAAGATCCTGAAATATTTTAGGTAGATTTTTAACTCGAAATTTTGCCCGGTCAGCACTGTTAGGCTACACATTTAGATTTCCAACTGTTAAGGGATTTATTTTTACGTGCGCAACAATACACGCGGGCGTCCGATCTCACTACCCAAAGACCAGGGGAAATTGCTAAAAGTCCACATGAACAGAAAAAATCCCAACCTTCACTGGGGCTTGAACCAGGGACGGACACCATACCTTGAAACCACGCAGCCCCCCAGTGTTTATACTTTAAAGATTCAAATCCATGACCTTTAGGTGAGCAGATGTTTACTATTACCACCAATCTTGTATCCACATTTTGTTGTCAACCAGACACCTATGCAGACGCCAGCACTCTCTCATTTACTGTTTCTCTTGTAATCCTACTGTCACTAGTATCATATCCACATTTTGTTGTCATCCAGACACCCATGAAGACGCCAGCACTCTCTCAAACATTGTAGTGGCCCTGCCTGAAGGAATCAACATCGTTGTCAGCAGTGCCTTCAGCCAAACCACACCCACCCCAAGCACAGGCAGCGCAAACACAATGACACTTCATGACTCTACTGGCCGCAGTCTCAACATTTGTGCAGCAGATTTCCAGAACATCTTCTTCATACACAACTCGGAGAACCCTGGCAGCTTTTTGCAGTTAGACCCTCAGTTGTCTGTGGCATTGCTGAACAATTTGAGAGAGAACAAAGACGTGCAGGAGCAGTTTCAGATGGAGCTAACGCCTGGGGATCAGAGGGCTGCAGTGAGTGACAGTATTAAAGATGAGGTCGGGGAATCGGAAGCTGATTCTTGTTTGGATCCAAATGTGAACATTGTTGGTGGTAATGGGTTTATCTGTGGTCCATCTTCTAGTGAAGATGCAGACAGTCTTTGAGAAGTAGCCACTACTGATAAAGGACAAGAAGGGGATAAATATATATCAGATCAGATTTGGATGTCTCACTGGTTGCCTGAACTGTCAGCATGGCTTGATCATTTGAAAGTGATGATCTAAAGTACTGTTGTATCTTTAGCTTTCAGATTTTTATTTGGTCTAATGTATACTCTATTCATCGTCTATGGCTTAAGGGTTGTGAATGCTGTTTCACATCACAGACATGCTAAGATTCAAATCAGCTGCAGGCTGTTTGGTAACAGAACGCTTTGCATTGATTTTGATGATGCTATGAGCATTGCAGGATTTAGAAAGCCCCTGGAATTTGCCAGTAAAACCACACAGTAGCCAATACATGGTGATGTTGCTTTGCAACAGCCTGAAGAGGGCATGCAGCTTACTTCAGTCTATCCTTGTGTAAGTTACATATTTCTCTTTGCCTTCTATTTGTGCATATCAGTGCACATAATTTCATTTCTCTTGATATTTTGGTGGTCTCATAGACACCAATGAACGCTTCGTAATGCCGGGTTTGATCCCAGCTGCGGGCCATGCGCCTTGAGTTGGTTTCGACAGTAGTATCAAGAAAGCTGACTGTCCAGAAAGCAATGGCAAACTACTGGACATAAATTTGCCTAGAAAAACCACACAACGGCCAGGGGCTGTTGGGGTTGGTTCTGCAACGTCCTGTAAAGGATACGCAACTAACCATAGACACCAACTGCATGTTTAAGATTCCCATAGTTATTGTTTGAGGAATGTGTCAGTAATAATTTATGTATATAATTCTTTATAATAGCACCACAGTGGATGCAGCTACATTTATCAGATTCTGTTGTGGAATGAATGAATCAGTCAGTCAAAAATAGACATCACTGCACTCAGGACATTTCTACAGGTGTTCCCTCTTCTTCCTCAGTAGCTAACAAAAGGTAGACATGCTAATAGTACTGGTTGCAACCTGATTAGAAGTCCGCCTGTTTCCTCTTCAGTTCTGAGTATCTTCTGGAACCTCTGCTCACCCCACGTTGAATTGGTCTTTCAATGTATAAATTCTCTCTATGTTCTGTTGCCCTGTCCATCGATCCCGTATTGTATAAAAAGCTGGTTACTAACTTGATAAGCAGATTGACATGTGTTGATTTGCACTGATGTAGAGGAATAAAGCAGAGATAGAAAGACAGTTGTCCAGCACGACTTCCTAACTTTATTTCTTTCCTCAACATCTGTGATAGCCATTCAGTCAGTCGAGGTGCTGTCTCCACAAGGAAGGCTGGCTGTGGTCGATCAGCATGATCTGTGTCTTGTCTTGGCTGTACACTCTCTCACACTGCTCTTGATGTTGTCTTTCCACTAATGTTATTGTCTACCTCTTGCTCTCTTGCCTTTAGCTTTTCCCTCTAGTATGGTTTTTAAAAGAAGTCTTGTCTCTTAATGTGGCCAAAATATTTCATTTATCTCTTTTTTTTTTCTAGTTCTTTCAGTAGCTCTCTTTTCATTTGGTCTTTCCAAACCTTTGTATTTGATCATTTTTGTATCAATGAAATACAACCTATTCTATTTTATAGCCACATGTCTGACACTCATTTCAACTTTATAATTGCCTATTCATTGTCCACGTTTATGCACTATACAGTAGAGTTGCATATACAAAACATTTGACATTTTTTGTTTCAATGTGTCGTTTATCTCTTTAGTCGTCAGTAATTTTTTGGACCTTGTTGAAAATGTTCACCCAGTCCTAACTAATTTTTTATTTCCATTTCACATTTAGGAGAAACTTATTCCTTGCTCTGATGACTTTTCATTTACTGTGATTTTCACTACTGCGCACACTTTTCTTTTGTTAATTATCATAGTTTTTATTTTTTAATGTACTATCTAAGTGGTTCGTAACCTTACCAATGTGGTGACCCTTTAATACAGTTCCACATGCTGTGGCGACCACTAGCCATACAATTATTTTCGTTGCTGCTTCATTACCTCAGTGAATATGTGTTTTCCGATGATCTTTGAGTGTACAGCCAAGACAAGACACAGATCATGCTGATTGACCCCTGTGAAAGGGTCGTTTGACCCACAAAAGGGTCATAACCCACAGGTTGAGAACAGCTGGTCCAAACTGTAAACCAAACTCTGCCCGTTGACTTGTTCCACTAGGTCCATTCTGTTGGTAACACAAGCAGCCGAGTGCCAGAATCAGTAGCTGAAATTAGTGGGGGGTGCTGCTTCAGAAAATGTTTGGTCATTGTTTTATTCCTCTTTGTGTTCACCAGCTATAAACTCCGGCGGAAACTTCTGGTTGTTCGTTTACTTCTGGACTTTCATTCTTCTTTAAGAACCTGAGTATTGTGTGCACATCTGTTTTACAGATCTAACATATTTGTGTGCAGACTGTTGGTTCCTTGCAGATGCACTCTGATTTCAAAGGAAGCTCCCAATTAGTTGACTTATACTGTGCTTTTTGGAGAGGCAGTGGGTCTGTTCTTGTTTTCCCCCACAGTGGCGCCCCGAAACCCACAGGGGGAGGTCATTATTGTTTTACTATTTTGGCTATCCTCCGAACTTCGGGCACTAAAGATGGCGGCCGCAAAATATCCTTTCGAGCCACAGTCACGTGTCAATTGCGCACTTCTGGCGACTTAATTTGCGGTTCTCCGGCGACCACCGCCACAAGTCCAAAACGCCGCTTCTGCATCTCTTGAAGCTTTACTCGTGAGTCCTAGCCATCAAGTTTAGCCCCAATCCACGCTGCTCGTGGCGGTGGCGGTAGTCGCCGGAGAACCGCAAATTAAGTCACGTGACTGTGGCTCGAAAGGATATTTTGCAGGCTGCTATCTTTAGTGCCCGAAGTTGGGAGTATAGCCAATATTTTGTAAAGTGAAAAGAAATAAACACAAATTCAACGTATACATAAACTTGATAAAATCCTAAATATAAAAATAAGTTTTAAATACTATTAGTGTAAATTGTTACAGTTCAGGCTTGATCCATTCATTTAAGAATGAAATCAGTTCCTCCTGTTTTACTTTGCTCAAACAAAAAAAGTAATAAAACACAGTTGTGACAATTGCCCCCACTCCCTTTATTCTACCTTATGTGCAGCTTATTATCTCAGACATACGCGCATTCGCACAACAGCCAAGCATTTTTTTTCTGGAACTTATATTTGCATGCAAGAATTTTGTAATATTTTGCATGAACTGGGCAGATGGCTACTGTTGTTAAGGACTGTATAGTGTACAAGTATCATCATCATCAAGTGCCTTGCCAGCTGGCGTAGGCGTTGATGCATCACCACAGATCTCGGTCTTTGGTGTTCTGGATCAATTCCACTGATGATATTCCTCCATGCCAGTGTCATAAGTCATCCACCATCATTTCTGTAGGTCTGCACCTGCCTCTTCTGCCAGTGATCTTTACAGTCATCACAATATTTTCCAAAGCTCCTTTTCTCATAAGATGACCAAAAAACTTTGTCTTCTTCTCATTGTTGTAACTAATGTTCTACTATCATTAGCATTTCCAGGCGATCATTGTTAGTTTTTCTGGCAGTCCAAGATATTGGCATTCTTCTTCTCAAGAACCACATGTCAGTTACCCCCAAACTCTTCATGTACAAGTATACAGAAAATTAGACAAAAGACTTGTTATATTTAATGTTAACAATTAAGCGAAAATGGTGCTGCAGTTCTGCAATGCCTGTGCATGAGCCACTGCAGTGAAATTCTATCTCGTGTTGTTTAAATAACTTCCTTAATTATTTATTTATATGTATATGAATGCTAACTTATATTTGTTCTTCTTCCTGTTCACGGGCTGTAAACTCCAGCAGAAAGTTGTGGATGTTCGTCCACCTGTCACTGCAGTGAAATTCTATCTCATGTTGTTTAAATAACTTCCTTATATATTTATTTATTTATATATGACTACTAACTTATATCTTATTCTTCCTGTTCACGGGCTGTAAACTCTGGCAGAAAGTTGTGTGTGTTCGTCCACCTTCGGACTTTAGTCTTGTTCCTTTTCACAGATCTGGCTTATTCGTCTGCAGACTCTTGGTTCCTTGCTTCTCAGGCAAATGCACTCTAATTTTGAAAGATGCACCCATTTAGTCAACTCCTACGACAAGCTTGTTGGGGAGCCAGTGGATCTTTCTTGTTTTCACCCACAATGGGGTCCCGAACCCTCACAGGGATAACTTATATGATTCTTATTTCCTGTGGGAATAATATGTTTTTAAATATTTATTGACTGAAGCAGTGAGATATGGAATCATAAGTTTTCTTGGCGTATTTCAAGAAGGTAGATTGTCTGTTTTTCAACCCTGGGGCTTTTCTTTAATAAAATGTTTTTCAATGCATACAGTCCAGTTGCCCAGCTAATTAGCTGAGTGCTTGAGGCGATACTGTGAACTGTGGATTTAATTTATAATGTATTTTTTCTCTACTGTGCTCATAGTGTGGTGTTGACTGCACTAAAATGGCCGAAGGCAGATTGCGCCTCGAATGGTGTGTACTTTTGTTCGCGCAATGCAGGCTTTCGTGATTGAAATATTTTGCCAACAGTGAGCAGTAATTCTGGTGTGGGGCCATTCATGTTAGCACATCTAACAGCTGCCTTTTTTTTTTCAACTTTGTATGTGCAGACTTTTACGGGACTGACACATTTTTTTAAAACTAATTTTCAAATGGGTCAGGGAAGAACATTTTGTGTGATTTTTCACCGACACTGGTACGGAGCAATTAGTGTTGCCACTTTGGATGTTTTATATCCAGATTTAGATGTTTTCCCTTGCATTTAGATGGCGTTTTTGACTCCGTTTTGGATGTTTTTTGTCAAAGAAAAGTGGCAACACTGGGAGCAATTATTGGATGACCCTTCTGCTATGATGCTGTAACCTTAACTAATACAGTTCAGTTTTTCCAGAATATCATTGGGGATCATTTTGGGTGCTACAGAATTGTCTTCTTTGTATAATGCTTTTAGCATGCAAACAG